GACAATTTCGGATACACTTACACATAAGAATTATAAAGAGTTTTTTCCTTACTGTCTTTAAAGATAAGAAATACACAAGAGGGTTTGAAATAAAACCTACCATCATAAGAATTGAAACAGAATTAAGAATTGCTCTATTGATAAAAATATTATTCAGATAGAGGACATTAACAACGACAGCCGGAATGTAAGTCACAATTGAAATAAAGATAATGGCTGCCAGCATGGCAGACATTGTTTTGTGAAAGGATACTGTGGATTTCGATAGACCTTTTCGAATATTCACAATATTTATGATATGAAGTATTGCAATAGGTATCAAACACCCGATAAACGTTAAACAGAAAGTTAATATTTCAACAACAATACTTTGTGACATAGACATGTAATTTTCAATAACCAAATACAGATGCACGCTGTACAAGATCGCCACCACAACGGATGAGATCCACACCCCAAGTGACATGTAGACAACTTTAGTGTACGTAAAGGTTAGGCTGTAGAACGGCTTACTGATATATATGTAACGGATGATCGCAATGATGAGAAGGTGAAAATTCGATGAGAATGTTGCTAATGCCGTAATTCCATAGAAATACGGAAATGAAGTTACCCACGGAAACATGTCTTGAAAAGTGCTTAAATATCTAAGAATCAGACTCAACATGTCAGCAACGGAAGAGCAAATTATTCCCGTAAATGTCGGTATCTTTACCTTTTTGCGAAAGATGAATAAACAAATAGTGACTATATTTATTATAGTTCCTAAGACACAAATAACAGATGCAATGATAAAATGGATCTGGTACGACACCCATTTTTCTGTAGAATTTTCCCTGGAAGCTATGGCGGAAGTTTCATTCGTCCCATTGTACCGTTTAGGACCAAAGGTTGAAGACTGATTTGCCGCCAAGTTATCCCATACAAAATCCATTTCTGAAGTCTGGTGCTACATATACCAGTTAATTGTTTGATTTTGTGCAAATGCTTGGAGCTGGCCTTTTCCCTGATGGGACCTTTGTTGGAAAAGATATGTTTTTGTTAAAATATTTAAACAGAGTTGACCTATTCATTGATACGCGCATTTCTTTTTATAAATCAAATAATATTAATTTGAAATGAATAAATGACAATAATATATTTGTTACCATATAAGAAGTCGAATTGGAAGATCTTTCATTACAATAAGAAGTCAAATTAACAGATCCTTCCTTGCAAGTGTTCCAGTTTAATTTCTCTAATATTCACCAAAAATTTCATTCTGTCCTCTTCTTTTTAAATTGGATCACAATAAAAATTATTCTATTTCAAACCAAAAAAGATATTTCTATCTTGATCGATGTTGCTACGTTCGTTTACTGTTAAAGTCTCTGCAAATATCACTAAACGGCGACTCAAAATGATGATGCATAATTGATAATACATGGACATAATACCGGTATTCACATTATGCTGAATTACGAGACAGAGTATTGAATAGAAATATATGTTACACTTTAATTTATTCTATACTTTATGATATGCTGACACACAAAAGAAACGCAACAAGCAGTTACAATTTTTGGAATAAATTCTTCTGATAATATCCATTATTTAACAGATGTTAATAGTAAGAAAGAAATTTGATTAAAAACAAATAGAGATTTGATTGAAACTTATAACCTTTAAACTTTAGAAAGTAGCAGTTACCCCCCCCCCCCCCCCCGAGTTCCCCAATTGAAATATAGCGAGTATGTCAACCATGCATAATACTTGCAGTTCCTCTTCTATTTCGCAATGAGTTCATCAGCCTTCTGATTATGATGAGAAGAAATATTCTCCCAGTCTTTTTGAGGTGCCTGTTTCTCAGATGTTGAAGTTGAATTTCTCGATTCTGGCGCAGTGTCTTACCCTTCATAGTTTGTTTTCCGGTCCAAGGACTCTGAGTCGTGCTAGTGAGACGTATGTGCATGCAGAGGCGTGATACAAAACATCTTTGCATCTGCAACACTCTTTCAACTTTATTTTGAGAATTTCTTGCTAAAAGCAATTGTTATGCACGCTAACAGCCTTGGCATCACGTAAGAAGAAACCAGAACTTTTTTACGGAATAATACTGCAATACTTCTGAACAGAAACAAACTTTTGTAAACCCAAACTCTAGTAATTTTTTTAAACGCGCAATTTAAGATTTCCGTTAAATCGGGCTCGGATTTTGGTCTGGAAACTGTGAAATTACCGACTATGCAAAGTTCAAACTTTTCTAACCATTAAAGGTTAAAAAATTATGCACTGTTTTTTTTCTCTAGAAATAGAAATAATCAATGTTTCTTTTGCGTGTCAGTACAATAAGATAGGTATGACACGCCAAATTCACAAAAATACCTAGTTTCAAAGTTGATAAACATAGTTTACGGACCCTAAACTATGGTTAACGATGTTAATCTATATTTCACCTCTCTAAACCAAAGTGAACACCTTAATCTTCGTTTAAAAAGTGTAAACTCTACTTGACACAGAAAACAATCATATTTGCAAATGCAAAACATAGACTAAGTTTATCTGATAAATACGGTTTTGCGATTTGTAGACTACGGTTTACTACTCTAAACTACAGTTAACGAATGTTAATTATAGTTTATGGTTGTATACTATAGTTTACATATTTATTTAAGGGACCGAATTCACAAAATTGTAATACACATAGTTTTACCTTTGAGAAACACAGTTTAACGTCAGAATCTCTTTATAACCATCAACTAAATTGGGAGTTTTTGTATAACTAGTATCCAAACTATTAGTATGGAGTAGAGTAGTACTCAGATTTCAAGATAAACTCTGGGATTATATCATGAGTTTAGAGAAGCAGAGATTCCCAAGCAAAACTGTCTCTTTTGGGGGATAGGGTCCATTCACTTGATTCCTTGATTCTGAATTGATATAAAATTTACAGCAATAAATAAAGCCGCGACTTTAGCTTATAATGACAGGCGCTTGACGAAGGAACAGTCACTATCTATGTTAAATGGCTTAGGCTGGAACAAGAATCGGACCTGGGCCTCCATTAAGCGAGCACACAACCACTTAGCTACCGTTACTGGTGAGGGATAAAGAATAATATCAAAATTGATAATTTTGTAACATTAACTTAACAAGTATTGGACATTTAGATATTTCAACGATGTTTTATCAATTAACAATATTCATTTTCATTCCTACGTTGATAAGAAATATCAGCCTGAACTCGAAATAAAAGACACTATATAGTCAGACACATTTTTTTGTATTTGAATATTTTATTTAAAAAAAACATTAATGGCAACTTTACAACAAATCTTTATGATAGACGTGATGACTTCAACCTGTCTTATTTATGTAACAATATATCATTATCACCAGCATATGGAGTTTATGTCTCCCAGCTGATTCGATACTTATAAGAGCGTGCTCTATTCCTAAAACAAGACAAACTATTGACAAATAAGTTAATGATACAAGTATATCACAGTCCCGTTTAAAGTCAACATTTCGAAAATTCTATAGTCGACCCAATGACCTCGTTTGCAAATACAATCTATCGATGAGTCAGATGTTCACTTTTTTCATAAAATAGTTTGATCATTTTTTCACACTGAACTGTCTACGGATTTTTTTCGTTTGTCTGATGATGACAAGGAGCACAGAGCGGATGTGACCGTTAGACAGGAAATGCTTGTTCCGATCCTCCATGCATTTGATCCCACCTCTTAGTTTTTAGAGTTTCGTGTTTACTCTGCTCACATTTTGTATTGTTCCAAGGGATTTCTGAGCTTGATTACTGTTCGTTATCTTCATAATTCATTAAATAAGAAATCACTTAAGCGAGTATTCTTTTTTTCAAATAAGCATAAAACATTATACAGTTATAGTATATCATTGAGAGAGTTAGCATGATTCCAGTTCCCCTCGACCAGGACTATTTCCATTGGCTTCTCATGGGAAATAGTCTTGATCGAACTTGAATCTTGCTAACTTCTTCAGTAATATACATTTTAACTGATTTATTATACTGATACATATTCGAAGCAGGTATTAGTTCACTTGACTAACGCACGCAAAAGGGGAATTAGTCCATTCACAGCGATTTCTATGGAATTATTCACATCAAACAATCTAATTCTATACAGGAAAAAATCAGTAGAGGTATAATGATAAAATTTTTCATTATACTTTTACAAATAGAGTAACTTTTGGGCTATTTGAATTAGAATAAATTAATGATAAATGTATACATAATATTAAAAGATTTAAAACAACCAATGGTTGGAATGGGTGGAAATATACTGCAATAATTCAATTCAATTGGTACTCAATAAAATTTTTCTGGGACGCGTAAAATTTAGCTGGGACTCAACCTCCTCAGAAATCTTGAGTCCTTGGACTCGAATTAGCAAAATCCTAATGAGAACCCTGAACTCTGAATTCAATTCTGTTTGTAACAATGGAGAATCAATGCATAAAAATATAAAAATCCTGATATAAAAGGGCCCTATTCTTGAACTCTGCTCAGAAGAGAAGTCATTGGTCCAGAAAATTAAAGAGGTAGCTATTCAATCAGAAAGATGTTTATGATGAGATTCACAAAATTCTGGTCGCTTTAACTTCATGAAGAACTGTGCCAAATTATGCTGTAGTTGTAGTTACAGAGTCAAAAGTAACTTAACTAATTAAAAACAACATGATGTCACCAGATTCGGTTCATTAACGGTTTTTGAACTGGTGCACAACTACGCTTGCTCTTGTTATTCCATGTTTCCACTGCCATGTCTGCATGAACGTGCTACTTTAGGGTGACAGAGTGTATAGTACATTAACATGAACAGAGTACATAAAACGATTCCAGATGAAGCCACCGATATTGTGGCTATGTATACCCAGCTGGACTTGTCTACGTCACCCCAAAATACGAACAGCGCCACTATCACAGCGTTTTCCACGTGGAACAAAGAGTAGTACGCTATAGCAAGAACTTGGGATTTGCCTCGACTTAAGTTCATGAAGGATATGATTTGCACAAAGCCGATGAACACAATGAATAAAATGTTGTGTAATTTTGTTTTATAGGCTTTAACATTTTTGAAAAATGCAACAGTTATCATGATCATCCAATGGAATAGAACACCAAATATTACGTAGTAGGGACCGTTCCCTTCGATTGAAATCAACATCACAATGGCTGTGATTCTTGGTCCGATCTCGAACACTCGCCAGAGGAAGTACCCCACAGCTCCACAGTTTGTGTTTGCTTTCAAACCAGAAGTTGCGTAAAAGATACGCAGTGCCCTGTAGTATCCCGTGACAGACCATGCTTAACCTGCTAAAGAGGATGCAATGGTGACAGCTCGCAGAATTTCTGTAATTAAACAAACATCTAATCAATTTAAATCATCTGCAAGTTATTATGAAATCAGTCTTGTTACAATAGGTAAAAAGGAACATCTTTTAAGTCATATATGGTTATTATATTGAAATGCAAAAGAAACGCAACCACCTATTTTAGGGGGAAATATTATATATAGGATATAATTTTGTATCTAAAAAGTAAGGACATCTTCAACTTTGTAAATATCGTTAATTTAACGGTTGAATGATTTTCATACCATTACCGGAAGTTAAGTTTGAGTCCGCTTCACAGAAATCAAAAATTGCATGTTTAACAAAATATTTGGCAATAATATGAGGTTTTAAGAATTTGTATCTGTTCATCATAAGTAATGAAGCAATGTTACGAAAAATAAATTCCCCTTTCTTTTGTGTAAGCGATGCCAGGGCTTCCTAAAAATGACTTAAGTACGCATTTCCATTGGTTTAGCTGGAAAATCTCAAAATAAAGGTTATGGAGAGTTGCAGATGCAAATATGCAACACAAAGCGCCTCAACAGGCTCTTACGTATCATTAGCATGAATGACAGTCCTTGGACCGGAAGTCCAAGGGTTACTACACTGCGCTTGGCTAGAGAAAATTCGACCTTATCATTTGAAAAACAGGCTTTTAAAAATGGCAAAGAATATTTCTTTCGCTCAGATCTCGAGGTTGATGAACCTACTGCATCGTAGAAATCAAGCTGCAACTGTTGTACATGGCAGTCTTGACCGCTGTAATTGAATGGTCGGGGTGGGGGTGTTTTAACATTCATGCGTTACTTTCTAAAGTTAAAAGATAATAATTTAACATTTTTATCAAATCTCTGATGTGTATAAATCGAGTTCTATCATACTGTATTCATTTTTGAAAATCATTAGATAAAAAATTCAAATATTTGTATATTACTGCTTGTTGCGTTTCTTTTGCCGTTCAGTATATAATAAGTTTTTAGTATTGTGATAATAGGTTTATAAATATTGAGTATCTTTTTAAATTCAGAGTAACATGGATTACTAGAGATATATGTAGCATGAAAGACCCTGAAAAACTACATTGAAATGATATAACCTTGTTAAGGTACTGTCACAATCCCTGTGAATTTTTTCTTATTCATTATTCAGTTACGAATTCTCGATTCCGGGAAAAAATACTGAAAAATTTAATCAATACTTCCAAGAACCACCTAAGGATTTAAATGACAAACACTTATATTTCAATCCTATTAAAGAAAATATTTGGCTTGAATGGAAAATATCGATTTGTATTTAAAAATGCATTTAGAGTATTCTTTAAAAAAAAAAAAGAAGAAGAGTTTTCACGCATTAAAGCACTTAAATTCTTACCAAAATAGTTGGATGTAAGAAGTGTTGTACATATTGTAAATTAATTTTATAAAGAAATGAAACTAATTACCAGCGAAATCTAACTTATGAAAAGTAAATAATTACTGTTTGACAGTAATTTCGACTACACAACATTATGCTGAAAACTTAAATAAATAAATAACAGAAAGAGAATAGATCTATTTCCTGGAGTTGTAGTATTCTTGTGGTCAGATACCCATTCCCCTGACAAAATAGACTAATTTTAATCAAATAAAGCTTTGTTCATCCTTTGAAGAAACGATTGATTTTGAAAATATTTCTTTTGTGAAGGAGACTTACACACTCTGGTACAAATAAACATATTTTCCCCTTTACTTACCTAAGTGTAGTGCTTTTTGGTGCGCGTCATGGATAGCAATGTAAACCTGGATGATCAACTGAGGAGCGGATTCAAAAAAGGCGTCGAACATCCGTAGAAAACTGGCATCTATATCATTCTTCATCATTCTATTGTGATGTGTTTTCTTGTTATATTTGGATCTGCGACTTAAGAACCCATGTTTTAAGTAAGAGAAGTTTCTGAAAAAAAAAAATAAGAACACGGTTCTTAACTTAAAGCAAATTGGGATACGATAAAGCAATGCATGCATGTGTAACGAATAATTGCGAATGAATAAAGCATCTAGATCCAGGTATCTTTGAATTTTACCTAACTGTATATACTTTAGAAGTACAACCCTAAAGTCATGGACGAAAGTTCTTGAATAAGAGTTATTTTGGGGTCTCTCTGTGATCCAACATGGCACTAAAGAACAAGGTACAGTTTCAATACAAATCTTGCCCTGTGTTTTTCTTAAAAATGAAAGTGATATAAAAAATTAAAACTTGTGCTTTTTGAATCATTGAAATTCCATGCAGAAAGATCATACAAACCATTTTTCTCACATGTCCTTCTAAATTCTAATTGTGACGTCAGAGACCTGTGCATTTTCCCGTATTTTCTTGAAAAGTTGCAGAAGACACCAATTTTCAATGGAACTTTCTTTCAGAAAATATTGTCCACAGGCATCGCCCACAAAGATTTTGAGATATATGATTTTTCAAAGGATTTTACACAGCATATCCGAAAATTAAAGTGGGCGACAGCTGTTGACACTATTTTCTTAAGGAAAATAACCCTAGAAATGGGCCATTTTGAGGCTTTTTCTGTTTAAAATAGAGAAATGCATCAAATTAATGACGTCATATTTCCAGAATGGTACTCCTTCATACCATATTCCTTTCAGATTTATCATAGTCATATACTCAACTAACATTTAAGCCAGTTTCAAAACTTTTTGAAAACATTGATTTTTTAGGGCACAATAAAGCTAAAAACCGTACCTTCTTCTTTATCAAGTATCTGATTTCAAATGCTGTGATACATACCTGATAATGGTAGAAAATGGGAAGGCCACGACAAGAAACAAATACTGTCTCACTCTGCCTATGGGTCCTCTTTCGTCTTGCAGGTACCAAATCGTGCTTAAGGACCCCGTCACCAGAAATGACGCAATCACAACCGATGACGTAAGTGCACACTCTACCATTCTACCGTGATTTTTGTATTCCAAGGCTAGAAGAATGTCCGTGACAACATCAAAGACAAAGAGAAGTATTGAAACAACAACACTAAGAAAGTCCAAAATGGTAAATGGATAGGGTTGGACGTTGTTTTTATCATTTGTGATAGAAGTGTTCTCATCGACACAATCTACGGAGTCCACGGTTTCATTCATTTCATCTCCACGTGAACCAACCGGATTATCTGCCACATCCTTGTTCTTCTCTGTTTCGGGTTTTTCATCTTCATTTTTTAATTTTAACTCCGGCATTGTGTCACAATTTGTCAAAAATTAAGATTTAGTTTTGGGAAAAGAATTTATATCATGTTATTTTTTATCTAGTTTCGGTTTAGACTTATTTCCTACTGTAATCTAATATCAGTTGTTTAAGATTTGGGAAACCTATAAAGAGATTTGTATACCTAGAATTGTATTATCTGAACCGCCCCCACTGTATTCAATGTTGACAACGTCTTAATTGAGATTTCGTGTGGTTTGCGGTAGATTTTTAAATACAGACATTCTCATCTGGAAACATGCCGGTATATTAGATATATCAATAATTATTGATTTCACACTTCATATATTTAGTGCAATGTATCTGTAGGTTTTAAAAACTTTGATCTTGCCTAGCTTATTTATTTATATAGGACCAGAATAATTTTGTTCTTTCAGTGGCAACTGCGCTGCTTGCACAACTACATTTGGTGTTTATTTTGATTGTGAAGTTTCATTTAAATTGCCTGAGCTATCCTCGAGAACTCCTGCAAACAAAATTAGGTTGAACAATAATAATTATGTCCTCCGACCTCGTTCGGGATGACGTGATAAGAAAATGTTCAAAAGAGTTTTTTTTTTTTTCCAGATAACTTAAATGCCTTTAAATAATCGTATCCTTGTACATAGAGACATTGTAAAGGTTTACTTTTGATTGGTTATTTAAATTATAATTATAATTCTTTCCACAGAAATATGGTACAATTAAGGATAAATAACACAATTTTTTTTTAAAGAAATTAGCACTATATCTTTTAAATTTATATTCATATAAAATTTTGTAGATTATTGTTTTAAATTAAAGTCATAAAATATGAGCAAAATTTGGTATAGATTTATATAGAAAATGGTACAAAGTTGCATACATGTAGTATTTAAATACCAAAGAAAAGATACGATTTATTCATGTTTTAGAAATTACTATTTTAATTATGTCATTTCCATTCAAAATAAGTAAATTAATTACCTAAAAGTATATATCAATCCTTTTTTTCTTAGCTATTCTTAATGGAAAATATACCGAATTTAAACGATATACACTGTAATAGATTTGAAGAACTTCCAAACGACTGAGTGACGACAATTTAATATAAGCTCGTACATGTACTTGATAATTCAATGCTTTTAATTCTATGAATTACGAGCTGAGTATTTGTTAAAAAGATTCAAATCAACCATTATCACACTTCTGTTGATAGCATTGGGTTATAATGCATAAAATGTTAAGTATTACAGGAAATGCCCTAGTCCTGAAAAGTCCCCAGTACAGTAGTCCTCGGATCACCGATACATGTTTGTATTTACACCGCCTTTGAACTCATGCACAACTACGCTTGCTCTGCTAATTCTACGTCTCCCTTGCCACTTCTGCATGAACCTACTACTTTAGGATGACAAAGTGTGTAGTACATCAGCATGAATAGAGTACAGAAAACGATTCCAGATGAGGCCACTGATATTGTAGCTAAATATGCCAAACTGGACGTATCTACGTCACCCCAAAATACGAACAGCGCCACTATCACGGCATTTTCCACGTGGAACAAAGAGTAGTACGCTATGGCAAGAACTCGGGATTTGCCTTGGCTCAAATTCATGAAAGATACAATTTGCACAAATCCAATGAACACAATAAATAAAATGTTGTGTAGCTTTCTTCTATAAACTCTCAAATTTTTGAAAAAAGCAACAGTTATCATGATCATCCAATGGAATAGAACACCAAAAATAATGTAGTAGGGACCGTTTCCTTCGATTGATATCAACATCACAATGGCTGTGATTCTTGGCCCGATCTCGAACACTCGCCAGAGAAAGTATCCCACAGCTCCACATTTCGTATTGGCTGCCAAACCGGAAGTTGCATTTAAGACACGGAGTGCTCTGTTGTATCCCGTAATCGACCAAGCCACGCCCGCTAAAGAGGATGCTATGGTGATGGAGCGCAGTATTTCTGTAATATGGAAACTGTTTTATTTTATTCAAGTTTCTGATTCAACTCATCTGACACATAAAATTAATAAGAATACGCTCTCTTGCATATGAATGACTGAAGAAAGCAATTTCAACAGAACACATATCATAAAACAGGAGTCTCCAGAATAGTTTGAGCTTAAACAAAATTCGAGAGTTGAAAAAGACATTTGCAAAAAAAAAAAACCCAATCATAGTTAACCACTGGCATATACCTTTCGGTAGCAAACCAGTCAAAATGCCAATTTGTTAAACATTTAATTGTAATAAAAATAATGTACGTAGAAAGAATTTCTTGAAAGGGGAAAGGTTACACAGACATCAGGGGCAGAGAATTGAGAGAATCAACTGGAAGAATTTTCACCCACAAAGTATTAGTGTCGAGTAAATATTGGAAAGGTAAATCCATATTTATTAAAGAAATTAAAGTGTTGTTCTGAATTTTTCATTCCCAAGAAAGTAAAATCAAGAAATCTTCGGAAACCACACCCTATAAATCATCACCCTGACAGGATCTATTTAAGAACGTTTAAAGTTTAAATTTTCTTCATTGAAGGTCAAGGATGCAGCTTGAGCTAAAAGTAATTATAAGTCCACAGAAAAAAGTTAAAAGAACGCGACTTTCATAAAATTCACGTTTATAATGAAACCTCTGCATACATGTTTATAATGTAGCTTTTTTGTATAGAGATCTATCTATTTAAGTTGACTTGGTGGTAATTATTGAGATCACAGGGTACTGTAAACCAACTTTTATTCGCGTGCGAGAAATATTCACGAGTTTCGCGAGCTACCCTAACTATATATCGACTATAAATCGCCGCAAACCAATTAATTTACTTTGTAGATAATGTTTCCTGAGTCGCGAAAATTAATTGTCGCGGATTGATTTCAAACTGACGATTCGCGAATAAAAGATGACGCGAATAATAGTTGGTTTACAGTAATTGGTCAGTTTGTTTAGTGTAAATTCCTGTTTAAACACCGCATCGTTACCCTGACTGTCCTGTAATTTTTCAATGATATCATAATTAAATAAATCACCGTTGAGCATTGTGAATTGGTACATGTATATGTCTATGTTTTGCAGTTATGTATCAAATTATATTATTAGACAAACATTGTAAATTAAGTGAAAGTTCCGTCTTAGTTTTGATTATGGTAACAATGCATTGTGGACTTGTGTGACATCTGCTCTGGAAAATTATCAATGTCTGATTTCTCAGGCATGTTTCATGGGTTTTCTTAATTTTTTTCTTGTCTATAAAACATGTAGTTTCCAGATAAAGGTAACAGAATGTTTCTATCTTCTTAAGGACATATGCAATGTACCTAACCTACTGATAATTTTTCAAGATATTCTAAATTTAAGATTATAATGTCATCAGATGTTCGTAGACAAAAAATCAGCATGCATTACCAAGGATTTTGAAAGATATCAACTGATGAAAATTCTTGAATGATTCAAAGAAAAATATATTAAAATTACTAAACATATATTCTAGATTTTTTTTTAACCCAAAACTTGTTTTAGAAGATGTGTACAACACCTATGGTGGCATATTTCTGCCATGTGTGCAAGTTATTTTTCTGTTAGATATGTCGACATGCAAGATAAATATGATGACATGCAAGATAGTTATGTCAACATGCAACATAACTATGTTGACATGCAAGAAAATTGCAATCAAATAAGAATTATAAAAAATCTTTTAAAAATCTCAAATATTGCCCATATGTGACTTCCAATATGCAAGATGCTACTTATTTATGTCGACATGCAAATTATTTATGTTGACATGCGAAATAAATATGTTGGCATGCAACTTATTTATGTCAACATGCAACTTACGTATGTTAACATGCAACTTATTTATGTCAATATGCAACTTATTTATGTCAACATGCAACTTAGTTATGTCAACATGCAATTTGTTTATGTCAACATGCAACTTAGTTATGTTGACATGCGAGATAAATATGTTGACATGAAACTTAGTTATGTTGAGTAGCATATATAAATATAATTTTTAAAAAGTAAATATCCAAAAATGAAATCACAAATCGATGTAAATGTCTGAAGACCCAGGAATGACGAAAAAGTTTACAGTGAATATGATCGATTTGTGATTTCATATTGGATATAAACTTTTTTTTTTAGATATGATCGATTTTCAAAATGATAAAATTTGGAATTAAATGATTAAATTTAAATGCAAAAGAAATTATGTGATACACAATTTGAACATTTGTGCGAACGTGCAGATTCGTACGGTAAAATTGAAGTTGATTTAATGATCGAAAATTTATTCAAGCAAATGTTGCATTTAAATTATTTTCTATAATATTAGGTGGACAACAAAGTAGAAATTGAATTTCCTTAGATAAAATGTCCCGGCGATTCAGAAACGTGACCGTAGATTATGAAACGTTTTTTATGGTGGCATATTTCTGCCCCATGTGTGCAAGTTATTTTTCTGTCAAATATGTTGACATGCAAGATAAATATGTTAACATGCAAGATAGTTATGTTGACATGCAAGATAGTTATGTTGACATGCAGGAAAATTGCAATCAAATAAGAATGATAAAAAATCTTTAAAAAATCTCAAATATTGCCCACATGTGACTTCCAATATGCTAGATGCTACTTTTTTATGTCGACATGCAAGTTATTTATGTTGACATGCGAAATAAATATGTTGGCATGCAAGTTATTTATGTCAACATGCAACTTAGGTATGTTAACATGCTACTCATTTATGTCAACATGCAACTTAGTTATATCAACATGCAACTTAGTTATGTCAACATGCAATTTGTTTATGTCAACATGCTACTTAGTTATGTTGACATGCAACTTAGTTATGTTGAGTAGCGGATATATATATAATTTTAAAAACGTAAATATCGAAAAATGAAATCACAAATCAAATCACAAATAAATGTCTGAAGACCCAGGAATGGCGAAAAAGTTTACAGTGAATATGATCGATTTGTGATTTCATTTTGGATACATATCTTTTTTTTTTTTTTTTTTTTTTTTTTTTTTTTTTTGATATGATCGATTTTCAAAATATTAAGATTTTGAATTAAATGATTAAATTTAAATGCAAAAGAAATTATGTGATACACAATTTGAAAATTTGTGCGAGCGTGCAGATTCGTTACTACCCAAGACACGTGCATTGAGGCACATTCTGCTTTTTTTGTCGGTAAAATTGAAGTTGATTTTAATAATCGAAAATTTATTCAAGCAGATGTTGCAGTTTTGATTATTTTCTATAATATGAGGTGGACAACAAAGTATAAATTGAATTTCCTTAGGTAAAATGTCCTGGCGATTCAGAAACGTGACCGTAGATTATAAAACGTTTTTATGGCCCCTCTCTGCGGGCTACCTATAGTAATTAGTGTGTCCGTCCGTCCTTCTGTTCGTCCGAGGTCTCCTTTAAAGGGTGTGCGGTGACCTTGAACTATGTTTCAATGTCTAAGGTTAAGGTCATAGCAGAACTGTATCTGAAAAATGCATGTTAACATAAATAAGTTGCATGTTGACATAAATGTTGCATCTCAACATATTTATCTCGCATGTCAACATAACCAAGTTGCATGTCGACATAAATAAGTTGCATGTCGACATAAATAAGTTGTATATCAACATATTTATCTCGCATGTCAACATAACAAAGTTGCATGTTGACATAAATAAGTTGCATATCAACAAATTTATCTCGCATGTTAACATAAATAATGTGCATGTTGACATAAATAAGTAGCATCTAGCATGTTGGATGTCACATGTGGGCGATATTTAAGATTTTTGAAGATTGTTTATAATTTTTATTTGATTGCAATTTTCTTTCATGTCAACATAGTTATGTTGCATGTTGACATAACTATCTTGCATGTCAACATATTTATCTTGTATGTCAACATATTTGATAGAAAAATAACTTGCACACAAGTGGCAGAAATATGCCACTATAGTTTTTAGAGCCCCTCTTTGCGGGCGACCTATAGTAATTATGTCAACATATTTATCTCGCATGTCAACATAACCAAGTTGCATGTCGACATAAATAAGTTGCATGTTGACATAAATAACTTGTATATCAACATATTTATCTCGCATGTTAACATAAATAACTTGCATGTCGACATAAATAAGTAGCATCTAGCATGTTGGAAGTCACATGTGGGCAATATTTGAGATTTTTGAAGATTTTTTTTTATAATTTTTTATTTGATTGCTATTTTCTTGCATGTCAACATAGTTATGTTGCATGTTGACATAACTATCTTACATGTCAACATATTTATCTTGCATGTCGACATATTTGATAGAAAAATAACTTGCACACAAGGGGCAGAAATATGCCACCATAAACACCATATATAGACATAAAAATATAGCACACAGTTCCTTCAAGTATTGAAACTCTTCAACTCCATGGAAAAAGGCATTAAAGTTCAAACTATACGTTGCGTATGTCCTTAAGTCTTTTTAGTCTTTTTGTGTTTATATGAATAGAGGTTCGTGAATAAAATGTCAAGAAAATGTGTATTATGATACGATTGACCGGTTAATTGGTCGGAACGTGTTGCGAGTAACCGATTGGCAATTCTGTATTCGATTGTCATCCCTAATTTTATCAGATGATAGTTCAACGTTACCTGATGATTTTCTTACCTAAATGCAAAGTTTCTTGAGGCGGGGTGTGGATCGTAATGTAAATCTGGATGATTAGTTGAGGAGCGGATTCAACAAAGGCATCAAACATACTTAATAAGCAGGCATCCAATTTGTCCTTAATCATTCTGTTGTAATGCTTCTGTTTATCAGTAGACTTGCGACTTAGACAGCCATGTTTGATGTACGAGATTTTTCTGAAAGAAATTGGAATATGAATTTATTTAATTTTCAGTTTGACAAGAAGAAAATGTCTGCACAAAAGGTTCATGGCTACATTACTGGCATGATTCCCCTTTAATTTTCTCTTCCTGAAAATATTTTTCTGTAGATACGAAATGTATACAGTATATAAGTTAACATTCCGTGATTTGATACAAAGACCTTGTCAGCAAATACAATCTATCATTAAGTCGAATGTTGACTGACGTTTTTCATACAAATTGTAAGGCATAATAATCTCACACCGAATTGTCTACTGATTTTTCCCTTTGCTCGATCATGACAAGGAGCACACGGCGGGTGTGACCGGTCGACATGGAATGTTTATTCCTCCATGACATCCAATCCTACCTCTGATGTTTTTATGTTTTGTTTCGTAGGACTTTTGAGCTTTATTACTGTTCGTAATCTTCATATTTTATTGATACAATCTTTTTAGAGATTTCATTTACAAATACATTTGTATCTACCTAAAATATTCCTTTTTGTATAAATTTCTGTATAAATCTGGACTCCCCCAATGTGGCCCCAAAATAATACTAATCTTTTTAACAAACCTGTATTAACATAACATTATAAACAATACAAGTATTATTTTGGCTTTGAACTCTTGAGAGGAACATTTTAAAGGATTTTTTGCAACAAGATGCTTAAAGCCTTACTATTTACATGTAGTTGACTTTAAACATGATCTTATATTTCGTACAAAAAAGTTTTAAAGAGATTTTCCTTTTATATTCCAGCGTAACATTTTGACCCCCCGATCCTGGCACTTACTTAGCCTGGACAATGATTTGAACAAAATTGATTCTTCACTACAAGGGAAGGGAATACATGCACATCAGTATATGGCTGATGAAGATTGTAATCCTTTTGTTCGTAGAATTTTTTTCTTGAAAAAATTCTCTTAGTATATCCCTTTGTCAAAATCTGATCCCACATTGTGGCCCTAAACTATTGGCCCAGAGTGAATATTCACTTCATGTTCATGCTTGTATATCAGTGTGACATTTCCTATTCTTGAGAAGATTTTTTTAGATATTTTCCCCAACATTTTCTAGATAAGTGTAAAACTTTCCAATGGTCCCATCACAGCCCCTGAAACAATCATTTTAACAAATTTTTATCTAAATTATATAAGACAACTTTCAAGTTAGCTTTTTATGGTCCAGTTATTCCCGGGACAAAGATTTCTTGAATTCCTATCACCAGAGGACTTTTTTTCTTTTTTTGGGAGGGGGGGGGGTAAAATTCGTCCGATTTTGGAAAAGAAGTCAAATATTGGAAGAAAAAAATAAATGACAGATACACAGATGATGGACAAAAAAGTAGCTCAGATGAGCTACATAATTATGTAAGACAAGAAAATGGTATTTTTGATGATAGCAAAACTACCTTTTTGAGATAACAGGTATCATTATATTTTAATATGTTTTACCTAATAACCGTAGCAAATGGAAATGCTACTATGATGAAGAGAGTCTTCGTTATTCTTCCTTTAGGTCCACTTCCGTCTTGTACATACCAAATAGAACTCAATGTTCCCGCCACCAGAAATGACGCAACCACCACTGATGACGTGAGTGCACATTCTACTGTTCTACCATGATCCTTATATTCCAGAGCAAGTAGAATGTCGGTGACAACGTCAACTGCAAATACTATTATAGAAACTATAGCACCAAGAAAGTCCAAAACGCTAAATGGATACAGTTGAATGTCGGTTTTGTCATCTTCAGCGGTGTCTTTCTCATCAATGATAAGGGTGGCTTTTTCATCTCTCTTTCCAACCATATTTCTCAGCATTCCTCTAGGCACCTTATCACCTTTACTTTGATTATCCACTCCATTCTGTGTCGTTGTTCCGCCAGAATCGACACAGTCCTCAGTTTCGTTGTTCTCATCATGAATTTTCTGTTTTCCACGAAAACCAACCATATTGTCCACTTCATCTTCCCCCATCTCAAATTTCTTCTTCTTTGACGTCTTCATCGTTTGATTTTTAGTCGAAAATACAAATTTTTATTCATCTCTTTTTTTTTTATCTCTCCTGATTAATTTCAAAGTAAAAGTGGAAATTCTGTGCGGCCCACTTTCGTTTTCGATTCTTTTACGAAACCCGCTCTTATGTAAAAAGCTCATTCATATGATTGCATCTATTAATAGGTTTAAATACTTCACTATTTAGAAACTGTTAAAACGCTTAAATGAGTGTACATAATGTACGAGTACAGCACTTGACACTGTGTAATGTTTATTATATTAATTAGTGTTGCATTCTACTCAAGGAGATGGGCGAACAAGGAGTACAGAATGCCTATAGCTTTAAATGTATAAAAGTCATATTCAGTTTGTGAATTTAGTCTTTAGAGTGAAGTTCTTACCATTGAAATGTATGAAATTATGACAATCAAACCATTTCTGCGGAAAAATCTGTCAGCAAAAATTATTCTATGATTTTGAAAAAATGTGATATTCTTGGAGTTCAAACTCAAGCAATAAAAATCCTGAATATCAATTTTTCTTCGAGACTAACATGTTCAGTGGCGGACTTAAGAGGGGCGCACCCGGCGCACCCCCCCCCCTAAAACTGTCAAAGTTAGCGTAAATCATAGTTTCGTCGAGTATACTCGGTAGACCTCGTTTTTACCCTACAAAAACTCTACAATCCAGGAGCTTCCAGGCGGCCCCCAGACCCCCTGCCTACTTTTGGCGCCCCCTCTAACTTCAATACCTGGATCCGCGCCTGATGTTAACCATGGCCAGTACGCTATACAGCTCATAACAAACATCAGCATTTAAATCATATTTGTGGCATGATGAACTTCAAATATTTCTCTTAAAATACGAATGTTGTGTTATACTTTAAAAGGAAATTTTTAAGGTATAGTGGGTCTTTACTCCATGTTTTTGTTAACCGAATAAGGTATATATTTTCATGCATTCTGTGAATATTATCTCTTTAAAAATGGAGCGAGGGCCCACTCATGTGAAAAAGTGTTTTTGTATAAAGAATTGATCATTTTTGCTCTCTTTGGTGTATGTATGCTATTTCTTAGACGAATAATTTCAAGCTTTGTGAGATTGTCGCGATTTGTGGAGATTTTACTTATGAATTAATAGATTTTGCAAATAAACTCCGAAACAGGTGCTTCAGAGTTCTTACTCCTATAAGAATACACTAGATACAAGATGATGTCCGTAAACTATATTTAGATTTCACTTGCATAGTAAGTATCGTACATTAAATTAAAAGTCTACTTTCATTTTCTATAAACAGCCATTAAATAGCAAAAACGTGAGTACGGTGGCGGTTCCGGTTGGCGGATCTAAGTTACTGGCAATTTTCAATGAAACTGACAACATGCAATCGTTTATTTATTTCATAAAACGTCATTACTGAATTATTCAATCAAAACTTGATTGACATGATATAAAAGAAATGTTGTGATAGTCGATTAAAAAGGGAAATGTGCAAATTATTTTCGTCATTCAGCGATCTTAATATTTACGGAAACTTCTAGAACATCATATAGCATCGAGCCCGGTGTTAAAGAAAAAGAAAAACGAGCTAGGCGATTATAGCTGCATGGATATCAAAAAAAGCTTTTGTGTGAATGGTCATTGAAATAATGGTAAATCATTGAAAACACTATAAGTTATGAATATATGTATATATCGAAAGACTATTACATATACGTAGTAGGATTTTCCATATAATTTATCGGTACATGTAAATTTGTATATATTCCCCACAGAGAGCATTGTGGCAACGATCCCGAAGTACAATTTGTAGTTCGTAACTTACTTACAGAAAAAGAGAAAAATAACGAATAAGGCATTGTTCAAATACAATTAACGCTGTAAAATTTTGTGCATTAATCAATACATTTCAGGATTTTTTTCCCTGAATAATGACTTTTGTATCAAATACTCGGCCTATTCATAGGGCGTTAAAAGCTAATTTTTACACAGGTACTTGCAATTGGGTCTTGGTTTATAAATATGTATGTACCTTATACATTATTTGAAAAAAGTAAAGTGTATTTTTTTTACATAATTTATCAATAAGGTACATACATATTTATAAACCAAGACCTAAGTACCTGTGAATTTTTACCCCCCCCCCCCGCCACCAATCAATTTATCAGTAAAATGTGCATATTCGCTGCTTTTATCCTTGACGGAAATGAAATAAGAGCATCTGAAGTACAATATCCATAACACAGTATAAAAGGTTTCACAATAAACGTCCATTAATTGAATTGTTATTTTCAAGTTTTTACAAAAAAAGGCAGGCTGAGTCGTACATTTACTCCATGCAGGATTTGAACAAAGTATTTCTTCCTGCTATAAGCCTGTAGAAGCTACAGTATATATTTTATTGAGATTTTTCTGTCGATACTAGTAGTGGAATACTAATTCCCGCGCTTGCGGGATTTCATCTATTAGAGTATACGTTAATGTTAATATAAATGAGATAAAGAAAATTTTGTCATATTTGAGATGTAATTTTTTACTTTCAAATTTGTTGCACAATAAACATTTTGCTCGCCTTGTTCGCCCATCTTATTTAAGTTCGCCATAAATTCCACGAATACCAGAACTCAAAACTTCAGTAAATAGTATAATCTTTTGTAGTTTTTTGTAAAACTAGCTTTCTGTAGTACTACACAATTTTTGAGTAACTCGTAGCCGTCCATTCAGTTTGAAAAAAACCGGTCGTTCTCTGTAAAATATTGAATGCAGCGTTTTTGTTTTTGTTTTTTTTTTAATACAAAAGGAACATTTCAAAGGGAAAAAATTACGAACATATACAACTTTATTATTCGATAAAATGAAGACGAATTTATTAAAATTCAATTGTAAATACAAAAATTTTGAACCACAAATATGATTTTTTTTGGACAAGAACTATTTACAAATTTATATTGTGAAATTGGTATCAAAGAAAAGTTTTCTTGTTTCATCATTTGATAAAATGGAATAATTAACATAATACATCTCAATTATATTTTCTTATAAATGAGTAAGTTTTATTAAAAAAAAAAACAAACAAACAAAAAAAAAAAAAAAAAAAAAAAACATTTTTATAATAAGACCCATTTATGTTGAAATAGGTGACTTTTCACCCTAGTGAAAAGTTGAAGATAAAATTGGGTGCCCATATTTGGCCATTCACTTCAAACAACTAAAAATTTTTAATGCTGCCTAATGTGTTGACCACATTAGAATGTTCCAAGCCCTTGAAAAAGCAGACGAAAAATTTTTAGAATACACTTTTCATCCAAAAAATAAGAAAATTTTTAAGAAAAAATATTCGTATTGGATTGTTTGATCAAGAAATACTTACGTTGCACAAAGCTTTTGTAGTTCAGTGGTAGAATACTTTCTTTTGACAAAAGGAGGTCCAAGTTCGAATCTTGGCAAAAGCTGCGACTTGGTAGAGAATTGGATCAAACTTCAATTTTTCAATTTATTTTAAAAATGAAGCCTTATAGATGCTTTATGTTTTCTGCATTTAAAGTTTAAAGTGACCATTGTAATTACTGTCATCTTGTAAGTCTATCCTGCTTATTAGTCGATGGGTGTACCCCTTTTCTTTTTTCTTCTTTTTTCCCTTTCTTTTCTCTTTTTTCCTTCTTTTTTCTTTTCTTTTCTTTTTTTTTGGTTTGCGGGTTGGAGACTCACGGTTGATGGCAATAGCGCAGTGGCTAGCGTGTTAGTCTCAAATCGATATGATACCCCGGATTTTTATTGCTAGGGTTCGAATCCCACGAATACCATTTCATTTTTTAATAAAAGAATATTTTGTCCCAAGATCTTTTTTCTCTAAAAAGTTGTGTTGATCATAATTTCATAAATTTCAATAATGAGAACTTTACTTTTAAATACTAATTCACAAATTAATTGAATATGAATTTTTAATATCTGATGCTATAGGCATTCTGCACGCCTTGTTCATCCATCTAGGTGGATGTTAATGCAAATTTTATATCATGTTGTAAATTTTGCATTTACCACCTTCTAGTAAATTAAAAATTTTCAACGTGTTTCAATCACCAAGAAGCCTTAAATGATCCCTCTGTAGAAATATGAATCAAAAAACAACCATACTTACAGAATAACTTGTGAATTCTACAAAAGATTTATTTAACAAATGGCTGTATTGGGGTGACACAGCTTATAAAACGATACAATAAAAACTAAATTGAACATAAGGCCACTAGAAACAATGCCAATTGACCCGTAATAAATCCAAGGACAAAAGGAAATATTTTTGGCCAAAATCCATAAAATAAGTATAATAATATTCTCAGTGTAAAAGAACAAATAGTATAAAAGGGCATGGTATCGAGATTTACCGGGTCTGACATTCATAAAAGAAAAAATCTGCACAAATCCAACGAAAAAAATAAATATAATATTTTCGTGGGTTTTCTTGTATGGCCTCATTTTCGTCGTAAATGACCACGTGATAACAACAATCCAATGAAAGACTACTGTTACTGCAAAAATGATGCTATTCATTAGAATAATCATAACTAATGCCAATACTCTTGGTCCTATTTCAAACGCTCTCCAGAGGAAGTATCCTGTTGCAGCAAAGATCGTTTTTTGTCTCGTTTTGTCCATAGCGTTGCTCACACGGAGTGCTCGATAGTAAGCAGTCACAGACCACGTGACAGATACCCAAGAGGAGAGAACTGTTAACAGTCTAAGGATATCTGAAAATTAACCCAATAAATGGTAATGTGGTGCAGCAAAATATAACAAAATGCTCATATGTATGTGATTTAAAAATCGTCCAATGGCTGTATATGTATTTAAATGCCATTGAGTAAATTGAATTTTTACAGCTTAATATTTTTTTTAATTAAAAACCAGCTTCTCTATATGTATAGTCCACAGAAATATACAATTTTTTAGTACAACAGAATTTTGATTTGCTAATTGTAAATACCGAGGAAATACATAAATTTGATAAAATCCGGAAAAAAGGGAAACTTACGACTGTTAATCGATATGTCCTCACAATCTTTGAGATTCTCCTGTTCTTTCAGAATGAAGTAGATCTGTATTACCAGCTGGGGAGCGGATTCAATAAAGGCGTCAAACATTCTAAGTAGACTGGCATCTCTATCAGAGTAGATCATCTCTATGTAATGATAGTACTTATCAACGCCTTTCTGCTTGCTTTTGTAGCCGTGAAATACGTAGGTTATATTTCTGTAGAAAGTAATAATGTTAATTTTAAAGAATGTACCAAACTATATTATGATAAGTAATAACATTGTTTAATGTATGTGACCTACTTTTCCAAAAAAGAAAAGTAGTTTTTTTTTACTCAACTCATTTTGATGATGATATTTGAAATGTTTTGTGTGACTTGTACATTCTACAGGCATTGTTATTTCTTTTTAATTATTAAGTCTAATCATTATCTGTTCTTGTTACGCACTAATCAAAAGGACTATTCATTATGACTCAAAAATGTGATTATGAAGCGTATTTCCGGTTAGATCTAAGGACTATTGCACATTAAATTTGTTTTAAGTATGAAACACATTGACAGAATATTATCTATGAGTTGTTTGGAACTCTTACACGCTAAAGGTTATCAGGGATCACAAACCTGACCACTGTCGATAGAAATTCCTTAATTCTTATGTACAGAAAGGTGCATTAGTGTCTAAATGATTTATCCTTGAAGTTTACTTATGAGCAAATATTACATTTAAATAACTTGAAATCCATTGTATCACTGTTTGTTGTACTTTTAAAAACCCGTGTATTCTTTAACATTTTTTCAGAGAAATGAGACAGGAAAGTACGACAAGAGGTGGTGTAAATAGATGGGAATAGAAGAAGAGATAGAAGGGGAGGGATATGTAAGGTCTAAAGGGAGGTTAACGTTACGAGGAAATAAAATGATTACCCCTCCCCATCCCTACTCATGTCAAATGACATAATCAAGTCTTACCTCTCTATAGTAGCAAATGGAAACATCAGAATCAATAAACAGATATTTCGGCGGGATGGTTCCTGAGTATGCCAGATCGAACTTAAGATTCCAGTTACTAAAAATGCAGCAGCAACCAGGGATGACGTCAAAACGCACTCAAACATCATTCCATCGTCGTAATAGCTTTTGGCCAACAAAATGTCCGTAAAAACATCAATGCAAAAAAATATCAGAGAAATACTGATGCCAATAAAATCGATGCAAGAAAATGGATAAAACTGATTTGTTTTCTTTGATTCTTTAACAAGGTCACCGACTGAAGAATCGACCGCCTCTGTATGATCCACGCGCTGGTCGACCAGATTGTCGACTTCATCTGCAGAACTTGTACCTTCGGAAGCACCTGGATTCTCGGTCGTAGAATCTCTGGTTTGTAATTCGACATGTTGTCCATTTTTCTTTTTTGATTCGTCAACACCGACACCGACTGAAGAGTCGCCCGCCTCAAAACGATCCAGATTGTCGACTTCATCTGCAGAACTCGTACATTCGACCGCCTCTGTATGATCCACGCGCTGGCCGACCAGATTGTCGACTTCGTCTGCAGAACTTGTACCTTCGGAAGCACCTGGATTCTCGGTCGTAGAATCTCTGGTTTGTAATTCGACATGTTGTCCATTTTTCTTTTTTGATTCGTCAACACCGACACCGACTGAAGAGCCGCCCGCCTCTAAATGATCCAGACCGACCAGATGGTCGACTTTGTCTGCAGAACTCGTACATAGGAAGCACCTGGATTCTCGGTCGTAGATTCTCTGGTTTGTAGATTCGACATCTTGTCCATTCCTGTCCGGGTTGAGGCACACTCCTTCAACATCCACCTTACGTTGATCGGCTAATCGTCTGGTCAATATCACTTTATATTTCCGGTTCTCATGGTTTTCCATGTCGTTATGGTTGATCTAAAGAATTCTTCTTCTACTTCCCTTTGCGGAGTGTACTCAATTTGAGTGTCTATACTCCATTTTCAAATTCTCAGAACAATTCCATTAGTTCCAGGAAAAATCTAACTGAACACAAATCCTGTTTCTTGTTCAATCATGTCTATGTATAAACGTAAATACTCAATAGTACCCAATAAAAGGCAACGCATTAGGCTAGGTCTATTCCTCGATTCTATAAATATCTCGCAACGCATGTAAACATAATAGTATACTACCTGGAAATATTTCAAGTTCACTGGTCAACGCACTCGTTGTCAGTCTTGTCCAAACACACAGAGGACCTGCGTAAATATAATTTACTGCTGGGTCCATCAGACATGTGCAAGTATAAATAAATGTTCACATTATCTAGAATTATATATACAACATGTGTGTTTATCTGAAAATTTAGTCGCCCGTGGCCTAAAATTTAATTTTGAATTCAAGGTTCAGTGCGAGATATTAGATATGATGTTAAGTATTTTTATAATAGTCATTTAAAATTCAAAGCATTTATATTATACTTCTACAAAATTCAAAAGTCTACGAATCATTCTCCTCTAAATTTTACCAATTAATGCATTAATACATGTCCTAATTTTCGGCCACGTACAAGATCGAAAAGAACTACCCACATGCACCTAATTTTTTTTTCCAATTTATAAATACCCCCTGTCCAAAGCTTTACGTGTTCATTGAGAAAATGGAGGAAACAAATTTATTTTATTAGTATTGCAACCTGCAGTAAAAATTAAAATTTAGGCTAAAATATTGTATTTTAAAAGATTTCAAGAGTAATCCTACACGTGTTCAAATTAAAAAAAAAACATAAATTAATAAATAAAAAAAAAAAGAATTTAAGAAATGAAACATTGGCATTTTATTTTTTTTCTGTAATCATTTATATATAATGGCGCATGGAAAATAAGTGCAAATTTATCGTAAAACAATAAATATTGAATACACAATGGAGCTACTAGTACTTTCGATAGATCGGATTGAGTGAAATTTATGAAAATTGGAGAACATCTTAACAAAAAGCTTGCACTTACACTTTTTAGATCATTCTTGTGTAAATGATTTTAAAATCCAAAAAAATTGACTAAATAGGGCCAAAACCAGAACAATTTAAAACTTATGAGATTCTTTGTGAAAGCTCCCCCCCCCCCTTTGTTTGCTTAATTTTTTGTTTGTTTGTTTGTTTTTTTTTTTTTGTTTTTGTTTTTGTTTTTGTTTTGTTTTTGTTTTTTTTGCATTTTTAATTTTTTTTTTTTTTGGGGGGGGGGGGGGGGTGTTTATTCTTGATCATTTATAATTCCTTATTGTATTATACCGAATAGATTAAAAATGTTTTGTTGTAATATTTTCCGAACAATGATAAAAAATGTATACATGTAGATATATGTATATGAAAGTCTGAAAAGAGTATTTTTTGAAAATATTTGTGAAAAAAAAATATAAATTTGTATATAGTAAAACATTTGCTCTTTTGATCATGCAGACATTCTGAAATTAGACGCCATTTTCATTAAAGTCGTTTATATAACAATATGATTAGAGATTATCCAATTTCTCAAAAATAATGAATTATTTTTGTGGGTTAAAATTGAGTTTGACCACCCACAGGTATGTTTCACTTAATACAAAACATGCATTTTTGTGGGTTAAAATTGAGTTTGACAACCTACATGTATTATTCACTTAATACAAAACATGCAGACAAGAATAGAATCTGATGCAAAAGGACATATCGCTTTATTAGTGCGTCCGGCCTCTGTGATCAATGTCTTCTGTCATCGATTTACAAAAAATGTTCACGTTATTTCGAACATATTGAGTCAGACCTTAGTTCGCCTGTCTCTTAAGTTCAAAGTTTGTCCGCGGTCTGTCTGGAGTCCGTGGTCTTGTTAACTTTTCGACATCATCTCCAGAACTACATAGCCAATTTCAACCAAATTTGGCACAAAGCCTCTTTAGATGAAGGAAATTCAGAATTGGACCATGCTCATTTTAAAGGGGGAAAGTTAAGATATTAAATTAAAACTGATAGGGTGGCGTCATTCAGAACTTAATTTTTAAGAACCATTGGACCGTGAAAGACAGTGTGAACATTCCCTTCACATTTCATGGGGAAAGTAGTCACAGAGAACTGACACAGTCTGGACTCTGGAGTATGAGCAATCGCAATAATATAACTATTCCGCCGATCATTCCGTCAGGTTTTTCCAGACTTGTGTGTGTGTGTGTTTGTGTGTATGAGTGTGTATGTGAGGGTGTGTGTGAGTGAAGATAATGATACTTTTGGTATGTCCCTCTTTTGGACGGCTTAAAGAACAAGTTTGGGTTTCAGGTTGACTAATTTTTACGAGAAAGTTTATTGTCCTAAATTTCAAAATATTTAATAATTCACTGTTTCCCGTTGAATTTTTTATGTGCTTGTATAGATAAGGACTACGAAACAAAAAAAAAAAAAACATATTTGTTTACAGTTCCCGTCTGCCCTAATTTCATGTGCACTGATGTTAAAACTTTCTAGAAAAATATTAACTGCCTATACCCACCGACCCATTTTTTTTTCATCCTGAAACTGGAGAGGTCAAACAAGCAAACATTTTTTTAAAAGGTGACCAAGAAGATTTTATGGCTAGAAAAAAAGTTAAGAGAGCTTCAAGTATGTCTTTAAATATTGTAGACGTATTTCAAAGTCATGTTTTTATGTGAAAAATTAATAAAGAATAAAAATGAAAACAAAATCCTACCTACCCGCTCTATTTTTTTTTATTAACATATAATAGTAAACACATATTTTTTCTTAGTCTAATAATGAGAAGATTTTTGGTATGTTGATGATAGAATTTCATTTCATTTTTTTTGTTGATTTATCCGTTTATAGAGAAGTTATCACTCTTAGACCTAAAAAAAATCAATTGCATAATACTGTAATACATACAACTATCACATCTGTAATTAATTATATTTGTATGAATCATGCATGTTACAATGTAGATATGCTCAAAAGGGCCCTGATTTGGAATCATAAATACAAATGTATCTATCTATCATAATACTGTTTAATTCTGGACTTTTATTTTGTCTTCCAAATAATAAGTTGATTTTTAACTCCAGTCATTGACTAGAAGAGCTTATGCGGTAGTAAGGTGTCCGTCGTCCATTCAATTTTTCAAAATGCTACAGTTTTGGTATGAATTCAATATAACTTGGCACACAAGTAAGCTACATAATTTTGTTTATTTTTGATTTCAATGAAAACGGTGTTGCCATGGTTACTAAAAATAGAAAAAAAAATCTGTGAAATACTTTCAAAATGCTATTTCTCTTACAGTTTTAGTCTGATTTCAATATAAATTGGCACACAAGTAGAATGCACTAAGATACATAATTCTTTTATCAGTCTTTTATTTCAATGAACGGTGTTGTCATGGTTACAAAAAATAGAAAAATCTGTAGAATAGTTTTAAAATGCTACTCTTCCTACAGTTTTGCTCTGATTTCAATATAACTTGGCACACAAGTCAAGTAGACTACACTACGATAAATAATTCTGTTTATCGATTGTTGGTTGCCATGGTTACTAAAAATAGAAAATTCTGTGAAATATTTTCAAAATGCTACTCCTCCTACAGTTTTAGTCTGATTTCAATTTAACTTGGCAAACAAGTTTATTGCACTAATTTACATATTTCTACTTATCGGTTTTCAAACTTGAAAAATTAGTTGACCGGCCTAAAAAGGGGATCAAAATTTTCCATAGGAAAATCCTTTAGATCAACAAAGCTGTGATCAGTCATATTGGTATGGAAGTATCATCAGGTAGGGTAGATTCACGTTTGTTCAAATTGTGACCCCTGGGGGTAGGGTGGGCCACAATGGGAGATCAAAGTTTTACATAGGAATATATGGGGGAAAAAATCTTATTCTCAAGAACAGAAAAGCCATTTTTAGTCATAATGATAGGAAAGCATACTCAGGTAGTCTAGATTCAAGTTTGTTCAATGATGACCCCCGGGGGTAGGGTGGGGCCACAGTGGGGGATCAGACATAGGAATATACAGGAAAAATCTTATTCTCAAGAACAGAAAAGCAATGTTTAGTCTTTTGGTATGGAAGCATACGCATGTAGTGTATATTCTTTTTTGTTCAAATCATGACCCACGGGGATAGGGAGTGGCCACAAATGGGGATCAAATTTTTAAAAAGGAATATTAAAAGGAATATACAGAAAAAAAATCCTCTGCTCAAAAACAACAAAGCTATTTGTTATATTGATATGGAAGCATCCTCAAGTAGTTTAAAATTCAAGCCCCCCCCCCCCTTTAAACTTTTCAATACTAAACTTATTTGTGTTTTTTCCTAGCCAATGTGCTCAGGAGAGCGATGTGACCCATGGGCCTCTTGTTTTTTCTTCTTTACTTACATGGATTTCTAGATTACAGTGTATATGCGATATTCAACAGTCTTATATCACAGTAAATTTTATACTTTATCAATGGTTTTGTCTACGATTGTGTAGGTCATTCCAGTCTTTCATATTAAAGAAACCACATAAATATTCCAAACAACCATTACACGGTGTTAAGTCAGACAATATTTACGCAGTATTGCTTTTACAGCCCGTTAAGAGTGAATATATCTTTGATAACTATGACCTAGTACTAAGTCAAATGTTACTGATTTTTAATGTGTTTAATCTCTCCCAAAATGTCTCCTTTTACTTCAGCTGACTAATATTATTAATACTTTAATGATATTAAATAAACAAGTTACGTATAAGAGTTTTAATTCACTTCAATAAATTAAGGCAATCTTGCGAAGCAACAACAAGGAATTTAGCTAATTATATCATCTTGTGAGTTTTACATTTACGAAGTGAATGTAAATGCAAATTTTATATCATGTTGTAAATTTTGCATTTACCACCTTCCAGTAAATTAAAAATTTTTCAACCTGTCTCAATCACCAAGAATCCTTAAATGATCCCTCTGCAGAAATATGAATCAAAGAACAACCATACTTATAGAATAACTTGTGAATTCTACAAAAGATTTATTTAACAAATGGCTGTATTGGGGTGACACAGCTTATAAAATGATATAATAAAAACTAAATTGAACATAAGGCCACCAGAAACAATGCCAATTGACCCGTAATAAATCCAAGGACAAAAGGAAATATTTTTAGCCAAAATCCATAAAATAAGTATAGTGATATTCTCAGTGTAAAAGAATAAATAATATAAAAGGGCATGGTATCGAGATTTACCGGGACTGACATTCATGAAAGAAAAAATCTGCACAAATCCAACGAATAAAATAAATATAATGTTTTCGTGGGTTTTCTTGTATGGCCTCATTTTCGTCGCAAATGACCACGTGATAACAACAATCCAATGAAAGACTACTGTTACTGCAAAAATGATGCCGTTCATTAGAATAATCATAACTAATGCCAATACTCTTGGTCCTATTTCAAACGCTCTCCAGAGGAAGTATCCTGTTGCAGCAAAGATCGTTTTTTGTCTCGTTTTGTGCATAGCGTTGCTCACACGGAGTGCTCGATAGTAAGCAGTCACAGACCACGTGACAGATGCCCAAGAGGAGAGAACTGTTAACAGTCTAAGGATATCTGAAAATTAACCAAAAAATGGTAAAGTGTTGCAGCGAAATATAACACAATGCTCATATGTATGTGATTTAAAAATCGTCCAATGGCTGTATATTATGTATTTAATTGCCAAACTTAAAAATCTATATGGGTAAATTGAATTTTTACAGCTTGATATTTTTTGAATTAGTAACCAGCTTCTCAAGATGTATAGTCTACGGAAATATACAATTTTAAAGTATAGCAGAATTTTGAGTAGCTAATCGTAAATATTGAGGAAATACACAACAGAGCTTCAGATTGCTGTGGTAAATTCATGCATGTAATCCATTACCTTGATTTATCGATGTAAAATACATATAACTACTATGGTATCAGAAAGAAAATAACTTCTTTTAGATGCTTACTAAATGACTTCTGAAATAATTATGTTATCTTAAGATTGCACTCAAAAATATCAATATCCGGTTCAAGACAACTCGTGGCGCTTCCATAAATTTGATAAAATCCGGAAAAAAGAAACTTACGACTGTGAATCGATATGTCTTCACAATCTTTGAGATTCTCCTGTTCCTTCAGAATGAGGTAGATCTGTAGCACCAGTTGGGGAGCGGATTCAATAAAGGCGTCAAACATTCTTAGTAGACTGGCATCTCTATCATTGTAGATCATCTCTATGTAATGATAGTGCTTGTTAATGCCTTTCTGCTTGCTTTTGCAGCCGTGAAATACGTAGGTTATATTTCTGTAAAAAACAATAATGTTACTTTTAAAGAATATAAGAAACTATATTATAATATTATAAGTAATAACATCCTTTTATGTACATGTATATAATATGTGACCCACTTTTCCAGAAAAAATGTTAACTCAGCTCGTTTTTGATGACATTTAAAAATGATTTGTGTGACTTGAACATTCTTCATTTCATTTTTTTTTTGTATTGTTATTTCTCTTTAATCAATAGTAGGCCTAACCAATTGCTTGTTACGCACTAATCAACAGGACTATTCATTAATATATGACTCAAAAATGTGATTATGAAGAATATTTCATGTTAGATCTAAGGACTGTTGCACATTAACTTCATTTAAGTATGAAACACATTGACAGAATATTATCTATGAGTTGTTTGGAACTCTTACACGCTAAAGGTTATCTGGGATCACAAACCTGACCATGTCTTAATCCTTACATATCTTCGCTAGCCAAGGGTTTCTGATACGCTACTCTCCTCATAGCATATCAGAAACCCTTGGCTAGCGAAGATGCTTACGTACAGGAAAAGTGCATTAATGTCTACATGATTTAGCCATGAAATAACTTGAAATCCATTGTATCACTGTTTGTTGCATTTTTAAAAACCCGTGTATTCTTTAACATTTTTTCAGAGAAATGAGACAGGAAAGTACGACAAGAGGTGATGTAAAAGGATGGGAATAGAAGAAGATAGAAGGGGCCGAGGGAAATGTAAAGCCGGGGGAGCTAGGTTAACGTTATGAGAAAATAAAATGATTACCCCTCCCCATCCCTACTCATGTCAAATGACATAATCAAGTCTACCTCTCTATAGTAGCAAATGGAAACATCAGAATCAATAAACAGATATTTCGGCGGGATGGTTCCTGAGTATGCCAGATCGAACTTAAGATTCCAGTTACTAAAAATGCAGCAGCTACCAGGGATGACGTCAAAACGCACTCGAACATCATTCCATCGTCGTAATAGCTTTTGGCCAACAAAATGTCCGTAAAAACATCAATGCAAAAAAATATCAGAGAAATACTGATGCCAATAAAATCGATGCAAGAAAATGGATAAAACTGATTTGTTTTCTTTTTTGATTCGTCAACACGGACACCGCCTCTGTTTGATCCACGCGCTGGCCGACCAGATTGTCGACTTCGTCTGCAGAACTCTTACTTTCGAAAGCACCTGGATTCTCGGTCGTAGAATCTCTGGTTTGTAATTCGACGTGTTGTCCATTTTTCTTTTTTGATTCGTCAACACCGACACCGACTGAAGAGTCGCCCGTCTCTAAATGATCCACGCGCAAACCGACGAGATGGTCGACTTCGTCTGCAGAACTCGTACATAGGAAGCACCTGGATTCTCGGTCGTAGATTCTCTGGTTTGTAAATTCGACATGTTGTCCATTCCTGATCGGTCTGAGACACACTCCTTCAACATCCACCTTACGTTGATCGGCTAATCGTCTGGTTAATATCACTTTACATTTCCGGTTCTCATGGTTTTCCATGTCGTTATGGTTGATCTAAAGAATTCTCTCCCATGTTTCACATTCTCGAAACAATTCCATTAGTTCCAGGGAAAATCTAACTGAACACAGGTCCTGTTTCTAGTTCAATCATGTCTATGTATAAACGTAAATACTCAATAGTACACGATAACAGGCAACATGATCGGAGACGCATTACTATTCCTCGATTCTATAAATATCTCGCAACGCATGTAAACATAATAGTATACTATCTGGAAATATTTCAAGTTCACTGGTCAACGCACTCGTTGTCAGCCTTGTCCAAACACACATAGACGACCTAACTACCTGAGTAAATATCATTTACTGCTGGGTCCATCAGACATGTGCAAGTATAAATGTTCACGTAATCTTGAATTATAACATATGTGTATTCATCTGAAAACTTAATCGCCCGTGGCCTAAAATTTAATTGTTTGAATTCAAGTTTCAGTGCGAGATATTAGATATGATGCTAAGTATTTTTATAATGTTCATTTAAAATTCAAAGCATTAAAAATTTACATTGTACTTCTACAAAACATTTTCAAAATTCAAAAGTCTACGAAGCATTTTCCTCTAAATTTTACCAAAATATTAATGCACATTAATATACAGTAACTGTTTCCCAATTTTCGGCCACGAGATCGAAAAGAACCACCCACATCCACCTAATTTTTGTTTTCGATTAATAAATACCCCCTGTCCAAAGTTTTACGTGTTCATTGAGAAACTAGAGAATTTTTTTTTTTTATTAGTATTGCAACCTGCAGTAAAAATTAAAAAGGCTAAATTATAAAATATTGTAGTTTAAAAGATTTCAAGAGGAATCCTGTATGTGTTCAGACAAAACAAAAAAATTAAAAATAAATAGGAATTTAAGAAATAAAACATTGGCATTTTTATTTTTTTCTGTAATCATTTATTTATAATAGCTCGTGGAAAATAAGTGCAAATTTCTCGTAAAACAATAAATCTTGAACACAGGGCCACTTAATTTCGATAGATCGGATTGAGTGAAATCCGTAAAAATTGGAGAACATCGTAACAAAAAGCTTGCAGTTACACTTTTTACATTATTCTTGCGTGAATAATTTTAAAATCCAGATATTTGACTAAATTAGGCCAAAACCAGAACAATTTAAAACTTTTGAGATTATTTGTGAAAGGACCCCCTCCCCCTTTTTTTGTTTGTTGTTTGTATTTTTTGTTTTTGTTTGTTTGTTAATTCTTGATCATTTAAAATTCCTTATTGTTCTATTTAATTTATGTGCAGGCTGCCACTTTCATTTTATTTTTTATTAAACTGAATAAATTTAAAATAAATTGTTGTAATATTTTCCGAGTAATGAAAAATATATATAAATATATGTATATGAAAGTCTGAAAAGGAAATTTTTTTTGAAAATATTTATGAGAAAAAATATAAATTTGTATATAAAAAAAAAATTGCTCTTTTGATGAGAAATTCTGAAAGTCGACGCCATTTGCATTAATGTACCAATATGACTAGAGATGATCCAATTTGTCAAAAAAATAAATAAATAAATTGCTTTTGTGCGTTAAAATTGAGTTTGACCATCTACATGTATATATATGTTTCACATAATACAAAACATGCATTTTTGTGGGCTAAAATTGAGTTTGACCACCTACATGTATTATTCACTTAATACAAAACATGCATGCAGACAAGAATAGAATCTGATGCAATAGGACATGTCACAGGGTCAGGGTCTTGTTTTATTCAGTGAAAACAAAACTGGTTCGGTCTTCAATTATTTAATTATGGATACAGAAAAAAACCCTAGAAAATAGAAAAACACACTCACAACACTCATACAAAACAATAGACAAAGACAAACACGAAACATAAAGACATTTAAACGTTAACGAAAAGTAAGGGTAATTAAGATATTAATACGACTGCCAGAAGATCGTTACATATATTTAACAAGTAAATGAATTACAAGATTAATGAACATCTTACCAGGCATCCAGTATTAAAATCAGGAATAGATAATACACATCGATTGAATCGATCTAAGGCATAACAAATAGTTACGTTATCTGTCAGCGTAAAGGCACAAAAGCTTGGGGTGTTATATAATGAGAAGAATTTTGGTATGTTGATGATCGAATTTCATTTCGTTTGATTTTTTTTTTCTCGAAAGTTATTGCTCGTAAACTTTGAATTTTTCTAATTATTTACAGTTTTCAGAATTTTTCTTGCGATGCTTGTAGATAATTGAGCTGATTTCTGGTATTTTTCCTATATTGATGACTCGCAGATTAGTTGTTGATGTACCCGTTTATAGAGAAGTTATCGTTCTTAGACCTAAAAAAAAAAATCAATTGCATACACTATACTGTATACAACTATCACTTCTGTGAAGAAGTACATGTATATGAATCATGTGTTTTACAATGTATATATGCTCAAATGGACCCTGATTTGGAATAATAAATACAAATATATCTATCTATCATAATGCTGTTTAATTCTGGACTTTTTTGTCTCCCAGATAATATTAGGTCGATTTTTAACTCCAGTCATTAACCAGAAGAGCTTATGTTATGCGGTAGTAAGGTGTCCGTCGTCCATTCAATTTTTTCAAAATTTTCACCTCCTACAGTTTTGGTATGAATTCAATATAACTTAGCACACAAGTAGACTGCACTAAGCTACATAATTCTGTTAGTCTTTTTCTGATTTTCTGATTTCAATGAATGGTGTTGCCATGGCTACTAAAAATAGAAAATTCTGTGAAATACTTCCAAAATATTACTTTCACAGTTTTAGTCTGATTTCAATATAACATGGCACACAAATATACTGCACTAAGTTACATAATTCTTTCAATCGGTTTTTTATTTCAATGAACGGTGTTGTCATGGGTACAAAAAAAATAGAAAAATATGTGGAAAAGTTTCAAAATGCTATTCTTCCTACAGTTTTGGTCTGATTTCAATATAACATGGTACACAAGTAGACTACACTAAGATATGTAATTCTGTATATCAATTTTTGATTTCAATGAAAGGTGTTGCCATGGTTACTAAAAATAGAAAATTCTGTGAAAGCTAGTCTCATCAGAGACTTCTAGTTTTTCTTTTCATTGATGACTTAGAGGTCAAGTTCAAGTTTAATGTTGCTTGACCAAATTCAAAGATATTGCCCTTAAACTGTGAAAATTATTAATTATTCAATTTCCAGTCATTTTTAAAGCATGAGCTGATATTTGGTATGCCTCTTTATCTTGATGTCAACTCGTGCCAATATTCACCAATATAACTTCAATAACCCTATAACATCCACTTTGTTCTCTGGCTCAACTTTCAGTTTCATCATGATTGACCTATTGACACAAAAGTTATTGCCCTTAGACTTGAAAAATTTTTCATCAAATAAACTGTTTTCTGGACTATTTTCTTGGCTGTACTAGTAGTTGATCAACTACACTGAGTCTTTCCTGTTCATCGACCTTTCTCATCACCAGAGAAACCTCAAAGAATATCATGAAATTGCACAGAAAAATAAATGAATGGTTTTGTGTCCAAAAATGTCTATCTGATTTTTAATACTGTAAATACATGTACTTTGTACAATTTTTTTTTTTTTATTTGTTAAACTCTCTTTTAAGTCTAAATCTGCAAACATGTCTAAATAAATGTAAGCATGTTCAAATGAATACATGTACTCCTTTCAAATAAACCAATAAATGAAAACAACAGCCAAATTTACAAGAATCACATATTTTACTTGAAATGTAAAGAGAAACAAAAATTATTATAAGTCTATGATGTGCTGTTAATCTTCTTGCATAAACTGTGGTGTTAAAGGTCGATCTGCATGTACAACTCTGTTAGGGACTCCTAAATCATAGGCTAAGTCATTCATTTCATCTGAAAAGGAAGGCATAAAATAAACCATTACTTAAATGGGCTACGATTTACAATAGAGAAATGCTATTGCTTGTGATCAAGATTTTCTAAATCTGTCTGTCACACATGCAGTTAGACCTGCTTATAGCAAAATATGTCACATACAGTAAAATCTGATTGTAGTAAGATCATAAACAGCTAGAATTGTATTGTTACATTCATATTTTGTTAAATGATTAATGCTTCATTATTTTCTAGTTTATAAGTTGAAAAAAAAGTGATGCCATTGTAAGCATTTTGACAAATCTTTCTATGCTATAAACACATTACTTTTCTTATCTTGTATGTTACACATTTCATGAAAGGTCCTGTACATTTCCAACAAATTTTTATGACTCCAACAAATTTTATGATTCCTTAATTACACGTACAGATATGGGGAGATGTCTTTTTCAGACTTGTTTTTTTAAAAAAGCTGAGAAATATCTACTCAAGTACATCTCACCATAGTATTTGAGCCAGCCAATATCTTTGTCTAGTCTCTTAATGGCCATCTTAATTCTCATCTGGTCTTCCTGGAAAACTTCTTCATAAGCTTGCAGTTCCTCTGATAAAATGTAAGAAATTCATTAGAAGGTAGTTTCATATCAAAGAAACTGAAATAGGCTCAGCTGTAATGTTTTTTCAAAAGAATTTTTAGCATACATGTACATGTGTATGCACTTAAGAAGTACTGTGCTCATGCATCAAACTGTTTCTAGTGGTATGTCAATCAAATGTATTAAGAAACTTTTTGAGCAGTACAATAAATATCTGATGTTTGTATCCTATGACTATGAAGGATTGTGACAGTATGTTTGCAGCCCTGTACCTACCCTGACTGCACATACTGTTATCCATTGGTACATATTGGCACTGGGGATAATTATGCACATGTATATGCAGAAATTAGCCTTTCTTACTCCCTGCAGAATGGATGAAAACGTGTACCTTACCAGGGATGGGGTCAATTACGTAGGAAAGTAATTAATGAACACAGGAAAATAACAACTTCAGCTATGTTTAAATTGTAAAATAAATAAATTTTGTTTAATTGTTTCAATTTTATTCCAACAAGCTCCATCTTTTCTGAAATTCTGCACAAAGACTTACTTTATTTTGGAAAAAATGTATGTGTACAATGTTAATCGCTTTAAATAGATATGTAAAAAAAAACTTTCCAAGAGCACACTAGCAAAAAACACAAATATAGAACATTGGCGATTTGTCATAGCAAACTGCCAAAATCCATATGTGCAAAAATTTGACACCTTTAATTTAATTCAATTAATGGCACCACTTGGCACAAACATGTAATCGTGGCAAACCCACACGATACCCAAAAAACCAAGTGTTGATGATGCATCTGTGTATAGGTACATGCTGTCATCTGGAGTCCTATAAATCTGTTATTGTATGTTCTTTACAAAATGTTTGATGTTAATGTGAAACATGGAATACTCACTCTTCTTCCTAAAGCCATACACTACTCCCAAAGTAAGGGCAAAATATCTTGCAGTCTGTGTAAAGAAGAAAATAATCAATAATTTTTATAAACATTTATTTTCTGGGTTACGACCTGAGACATAAATAACATGTTTGTTATGTGACTGTAATTACTTAAATAGTAATGTAATTAAATGTAACACCTAACAATTTACAGGATAAAAACAGAGGAAATTCGAATCAGTCAAAATTCTTACATTTACTCGTTTTTTTACATTAAAATTATCATATGAACTAAGTCAAGAAAATAAAGATGATCATTAAAAGACAAACCTTTAGACCAGGAGAAACACCTGGAACATGTTTCCAGTATTTAAACGACATGATTTTTTTAGTCGTGGAAGGTCAATCAACACTGGAATGGCCTCAAAAACCGATGACAAGGTTAACTCCCGAGGAGTTCCTTAAATTTCTAAGGAAGAAAGAACTGAATCGGATAAAAACGAGCTAGCGATTTTAATTTTAAATATTCTAAATACAATGGTAGTTTTCCACATATTGATTTAATCAATTTTATATAGTCAAAGTTGATATTAGAATATCTCTATTATTTAGAGAATAAATATTAAAAGAAAAAATGCAATTTTATTCGAATGAGAAATATTTTTTTCAAAAAAGGAAACACATTCACTATAGAAATATTTGTTTTTTCTACAAATATTTCTAGTGAATGTGTTTCCTTTTTTTTCCGAACTTTAACCTTGGCCATAACTTTTGAACACTTGGTGCTAGGGCTTTCATACTTCACATGTGTAATCCTTGTTCCTCTGGAGACCAACACCTTTGACCCATTAACCTTCACCTAGGAGTTTGACCTACTTTTGAAAAAATTAACATTGGCCACAACTTTCGAACGGTTGGTGCAAGGGCTTTCATATTTCACATATGTAATCCTTATGACAAGACCTTCCTTTGGATACCAACAACTTTGACCCTTTGCCCTGGACCTACGAGTTTGACCTACTTTTGAAAAACTTTAACTTGGTCATAACTTTTGAACGGTTGGTGCTAGGGCTTTCATACTTCACATATGCAATCCTTGTGACAAGGCCTTCCTTTGGATACCCCCAACTTTGACCCTTTGACCTTGACCTTAGAGTTTGACCTGCTTTGTGAAAACTTTAAGCCTGACCGTAACCTTGGTCATAACTTTTGAACGGTTGGTGCTAGGGCTTTCATACTTCACATGTGTAATCCTTGTGACAAGACCTTCCTCTGGAGACCAACAACTTTGACCCATTGACCTTCACCTAGGAGTTTGACCTACTTTTGAAAAAATTAACATTGGCCATAACTTTTGAACAGTTGGTGCTAAGGCTTGCATTAATTGCATTTTTCACATGTGTAATCCAACCATTCAAAAGTTATGATCAAGTTTAATGTTTTTCTAAAAGTGGGCCAAACTCCAAGGTGAAGGTCATAAGAAATGCACATGCAAAATATAAAAGCCGTAGCTCCAACTATTTAAAAGTTATGGCAAAGGTTAAAGTTGGGTAATTTTTTGCAAAAGATATGTTTGTACCCAAATGAAGGTCTTATCACAATTTAGGAAAACACATGTGAAATATGAAAGCCATAGCTCCAACCAATCAAAAGTTATGGAAAAGGTTAAAGTTTTTGCGGACAAACAGGGCAAAAACTATATACCCCCGAATCTTCGATTACGGGGGCATAAAAAAACTGTTCGATCCCGAAAATCCTATTTCGTTTGGGGGGATGGGGGTTGTTGGACCTTTTTTTCCAAATCCTGGAATATTTGCTAGTGCTCGACCTTACAGCAACAAAAAGTTTGGGATGGGAAGGGGGCAACAAGCATCTAAATGAAAATTTACTATGATAAAGTAAAAATACTGTTCTCAGAAAAAGGGGGGTACCCCCCCCCCCCGACAATGTCTTTAAGTGCCGACTCCTAAGCCATGGAGACATGCACAGTTTTAATTAGACACTACTCAAAGATGGAGCCAGATTTTTTTCCGGGGAAATATAAAATTGTATAGTATTCTACATATCGGCAAAATTATTGGGGGCACCCCCTCCCCAGTTCCTACGACCATGTTTTAGTTAAATAAGATGTGTTTGTGAAACACTGATGCCCCCGTATGCAATCTGATTAAAATCAGATCTTTGTTACGCTCCGAAATTCTGATGGTCGCTGACCATCAGAATTTCGGAGCGTAACAAAGATCTGATTTTAATCAGATTGCCCCCGTATGGCAGCTTATGGCGAAGATTAAAGTTTCTTAAATGCAAATCAAACTCCAGGTCAAGAAATCAAAAATGTTGGTACCCAAAGAAAGGTCTTGTCTCAAGGAATATACCTGTGAAATATGAAAGCCCTAGTACAAACCGTTGAAAAGTTGTGGCGAAGGTTAAATTTTTTCAAAGTAAGTAAAACGGCAAGGTCAAGGTCAAATGGTGCCCAAGGGAACTTTTTGTCACATGTGATACACATGATCGTGAAATCTGAAAGCCCTGGAACCAAACGTTCAAATGTTATGGCCAATGTTAAAAATTTTTAAAAGTAGGTCAAACTCCAAGGTCAAGATCAATGCCAAAATTGTTGGTATCCAAAGGAAGGTCTTGTCACAAGGAATATACATGTGAAGTATGAAAGCCCTAACACCCACTGTTCAAAAGTTATGGTCAAGGTTAAAGTTTTTCAAAAGTAGGTCAAACTTCAAGGTCAAGGTGAAAGGGTCAAAGTTGTTGGTATCTAAAGAAAGGTCTTGTCACAGGGAATGCATATGTGAAGTATGAAAGCCCTAACACCAACTGTTCAGAAGTTATGGCCAAGGTTCAAGTTTTTCAAAAATAGGTCAAACTCCAAAGTCAAAAGGTCAAAGTTGTTGGTATCTAAAGGAAAGTCTTCTCACAAGGAATGCATATGTGAAGTATGAAAACCGTAGCACTAACTGTTCAAAAGTAATGACCAAGGTAAAAAATTTTCAAATTTGAAGTAGGTCAACTCCAAGACCAAAAGGTCAAAGTTGTTGGTATGAAAAGAAAGGTCTTGTTAAAAGGAGTACACTATGCAAAGTATAAAAGACCTAGCTTAAACTGTTCAAAAGTTATGGCCAAGGTTAAAGTTTTTTCAACAGTAAGTAAAACTTCAAGGTCAAAGGGTCAAAGATTTTGGTATCCAAAGAAAGGCTTTCTCACTATGAATACATTTGTGAAGTTTGAAAGCCCAAGCTCCGAGTGTTCAAAAGTTATGGCCAAGGTTAAAGTCTCAAAATTTTTTGCAAAAGTGGGTCAAACGCCAAGGTCAAGGTCAAAAGGTCAAATGTGATGGTACTCAAAGAAAGGTCTTGTCACAAGGAATACACATGTGAAATATGAAAGCCATAGCTCCAACCAATCAAAAGTTATGGGCAAGGTGAAGTTTTTGCGGACAAACAGCTATAAAAAAACAGAATGATATAGACAGATAGACAGCTAGACAGTAGGGCTGTCACGAGTACCCGAAATAACCGAGAACTGCGGTCCAAGTTGTTCGGTTCGGTTCCGGTTCCATTTTTCCGGATTTCAGTTCGGGTCTGGTTTATATATTAGAGTCTGTTCAATACAAAAAATGGCGTCGAAATCAAAGGAATGATGACGATAACAGTGATAAATAAACATCACAACTCAGTTGTCAACGTAAATCTACTTCATTCCATGACAAAACACTTGTCACGGGAGTATTAGATAATTATCAAAACGAGCAGGAATGGTCAGGTTGTGGCTAATAGTAGGCCAAGTCACCGATGTCTAGACGTTCGCATGGTCAAGACTTGTTTTCAATGTAAATTTAATGTAACAAATAAAGATTTTTCAAGTTAAATTCATGAAATTAAGGTTTAAAATAGATGTAAATACCCGACCCGAAAAACCCGAAACCGAACCGAAAATTTACAGAACCGACCCGACCCGAAAAATTTTGGAACCGTGACAGCCCTACTAGACAGACATACAGACGGATGGACAGGGCAAAAACTATATGCCCCCGAATCTTCGATTATGGGGCATAAAAATCACACTCACTGATGCTTAAGAAGAACTTTTTAGTAATTTCCCAGAAAATCTTCAAGATCAAACTTTTGCTGAAACTTTGGACCTAAATACTACAGATGTATAGAGAAAGGGAATTTTAAAAAAAAGTCTCATAATTAAGAGAGAGAGAGAGAGAGAATTAGCCAAATCGGCACTAAGTTTCCGTAACGTCATGAATAACGAGACTTTTAAAATGCCAGCTTTGCAAAATTTTAATGACCTTGGCCGAGTTTCCGTTTTTGTCCTGAAGCAAATATTTTTATCTCTCAAGGGTGGTAAGCGTATAGTTGACAGTGATTGTGGCAAAGTGTAGACGTAGTATTTCTAGTGCAGGTGATAAACGATAAAAAAAATACTTGAAGGTCCAGCTATTCTTATAAATTTAAGCTTCGAGATATTTGGATGATTATCCACACTTCTTCATATCAAACGATACCCATCTGATGTAATGTGATCGCGAAATGAAGAGGACCGAATTGTTTCGGGTTTAAAATTGACCCGCACCCATGTTCATGCAGACCACTTGCAGACGAAATGGATGGTGACTGGCTAAAACTACCTTTAATTTTGTTGTATTCCATTCTTTTCCTCGTAATAGGAGTGACAGTGGTATTGGCAGCTGTGGGAAAATCACTTGGAATCAGGAAATTGTACATAAATACTCTCATACTAATTTTTGAGGTAAACAGAACTAAACAATGCCATGCTTTAAAGTTGTTTTTTTTTTTTAAGTCTTCGGTCATTCTTTTGTTGCAGTTTGTATGCTTATTTTGGATACTTCTCATTGACAAGAAACATATTAATTTATGAAAGTAATAATTAGGTATATGTAAAATGGCAATATGAAAATATTTTATAAAATTGCTTTAAAAGTCACTCCATTCTTGCATGCATAACTCGTGAGGTTCCAGTGCCACTTCCAGCTGATGTTTTTGTTTGAAAATATAATGTAGTGAACCAGTAGTACAAGATGAGGGAACCAAAACACAGGGTTTTTTTGTACTAGCTACACAAATGTCTGTATCTGTCCTGTTTCATAAAAGTTAGATGTACACACCATTCATCATGTATATGGAACATATATTTTTCATAAAATTTTGGGAAAAATGAATCTTGAAACACTGTGTTATAAAGATGTTGTAGGCCTATTTACATTGTTTACAAATATTTTTACCTGAGTCATAAATAACTTGAACTGTTATTTAAGTCCCTGATTTCACTGAACATAAACACAGTACTGTCAGGTATCGGAATATATTTTCGGAGTTTGGAACAAAGTGTCTTAAGTGTCTTAAAGTCATTGCTGAATTTTTCTGTAAATAATTTTAATTGATGCATCATTGACATGAAAATGGAAGGCTGCAAATATAACAAAAGATTAACTTGAAATTTAAGTCCTAATTAGAACATTTTGTATGTCAGATGTATTTTGTCATCATCATCATGGATCTACAATGATACCAGACACAAATTTGTTTTCAGAAACCTTATAACATGCATAAAGAGATAATTTGTTTATTAAGTCTCTGAAATTGTACATCACATGCAATATTGTCTCAGCTTTTAATTAAAATATTAGTTATAATTAAATACTAAACACCTCATACAAACAAGTTGTGCATTTTTTTACCAAGAGTACATAATATGCATTTAAATGTGATTTAGTTTTATATGTACTATACTGGTATTTATGAATATCTTATAAGAAATGTCTTTAAAAATGTAAGAAGTTACTATAATTGAAGATGTATGTAGAACGTAAGATTATTTTTTTTTAACAAATTATTTAAGACTATACTTCATTTTTCATTACACCGTCATGTAAATGTATAAAATCCTTTTGTCTTTAATATCATATTTGGTTCAGATGTATATCAATTTCTAGAAGTTTCCAGTAGTAATTGCATCATGGTGCTTTAAATGCGGTGTACTGCATTAGTCTTTATAAATAAAAATACATGTACACTGTGATGTACAGTTTTCAAGATGATGTTTATATCTATTATAGTCAATATTATATTGTATATGTATATATAGCCTTTAATCAATGTAAATATATTTTTAAGTGATATAATCCCTCTAATGTAATTTGTTCCCCCACCCCCTCCCAAACATACTCTTTCCACTGCATTTTATTCAATACCCCCTTGTATATTTGTGAAGACCTGGATTATACACCATGATTATGGGGGGCTGACATTCTTCTTTACTTTGAGTGCCTAGTCCATGATCAGGTAAAGAACATGAGATCGTGTTAAAAAATTTTCAGGTAACCTTCTAAAAAGGACACTGACCTTCAACAAATCTAAAGGCTAATGCCACTGTATATTTATAGGTGCATGAGTACACAGTGAGCATTGCAAAACCTGCAGTACAAATCTCAGGATATATAGTGTAGCATACAAAAGCTTATTGATAAAAATTGATAAAATAAAAATCAATAAAAAGTTTAAGGTAGTATCCTATTATTTAAATCTAATAGGTCATCCAAATGAATATTCAGAATTCTGAAAAGGAGGTGCGGCAATAAAGATGACAGGCATTAAGTTTTTCCACTGACCTTATTCATGTAATTTTTTTTCAATGTTTAGACCTATCATCCATCTTTAAGACATAGTTTAATCAATATCCTAAAGAAAATATACTCAGGCACATGATTTAAGATATCTTTCATATGATGTAGGATGAGCTTGTTATGCATGTAGAAAGTATTTGGATGGTTCATATGCTTTTAAACATTTACATGTACATGTGTATATGACTATTTTATTTTTAAAATTAGAACAGTTTTACTTTGTATGTTTTCCAGGCAACAATTGATGGTAAATTTCTTGGAAACCAAAAAGTTATAGAACTTTACATACATTTAAACAAATATTAGGATGCACAATTTTACTGGTATACTGATTGATATATCGTAATTTTTAATCGCGTGATACATATCATGATACAGAGACTAAAATACCGGTATTTATTTACGTAATTATAAATTCTAGAAATTATTCATTTATTTGTTCAAACTTTTATAATACAATTACAGGAAGTTAAAAAATGTTGAAAACTGTAAAAGAACGGCATCCTCGCGTACAAACATGTTTTATATTATGTAAATAAAAATGGAAAAAAGTGAAGTTACTTTTTTTCGAGCATATTTGTAAGATACATTATGGATATTCATTTAAAATTATAGTAAAAATTGCATGTAAAAATATCATGATATGATCGTGATCTTTTGGGGGAAAATCATGAGATAATTCACGCTACGAAAATTTTTGGCGATACCCATCCCTAACAAATATACATAAGTACATGTATTAGCATCAACAAAAGTAAATTAAATTGATACAAAACATTACATGTTAAAAAAAATGTAGAATGATGCATATAAAGGTCCTGATTCATCCATATTAAAGAGTTTACCTTGCACCTGTCATATTTTTTATTGAAATATAACTTAAAACTAGATACCAATTAATGCATCTACAATGATATATATTTTTGTCATTTCAGTTTGGTAAGACAAAGATAGAAAGGTATGAAAAAGAGAGAGGTCACAGAGAACCTAGAGAGTCGGAATGCCAGGATGATTCGGATAAACCAGCTGACAAACCTACAAAAGAAAATGGAGGCAAGTATATGTGTGGTGGACTAGCTTAGTTCGTGTCTCTAGCTTGAAGTACAATTGAAATCTGATTGAATTAGTCCAATGTTATTAACTTTGAATAAGAAGAATTACATGTATATGGATGTGAATGTATTTTTATGATAAGATGTGCAGATTGTTAATATCACTGTAAATAACAGTAATAAGCATATGTTAAGGCAATGCAGAACCCAATTACAGTGGAGTCTAGTTAGTCCAGACCCCGGTAATGCTTCACCTTCTGGAAATCAATTGTGGGAAACAATATCTACCTATAACTTACACCAATCATACAAAGTCTGTTTCTTTAATCTTGACAATTTACTTGGGAATACAAGTGCTTGGATTAACAAGGCCTAGCAATATATGATGGTGTTCAACATGTTCAGTGTAATGACAAACTTTTCATAAATCCGTTAATGTTCATCATAAGTATACAAAGTTCTTTCTGTGAAAAGGTCTCAAATAGACTGCTTAATAATCATCTTAATGACTCTGTACACATGCAGAATAAATTAATGATGATAAAGATTCCAATGCAATTCAGTCAGTAGGCTGAGCAGAAATGGCAGTTGTCTTTGCCTTCTGTTTAAGAGTGTACCTTAATCATTAGAGGCTGAGATTGTTTCTTAAGTTATAGTAACTTGTTGATTTCTGTAATAGCTAGAATTCAGAGTGCAGTATGACATAATGTTACATAGATCCAAAGTTCAAGTCCTAGACTTACATACATGCATTCATATGTATATAATATATAACTATATCTGTTTGTCATTACAAATACCAGTAGATCTTGATTTTTTTAAAAAAAAGATCAGGGCTCTCAATTTTTAGCTGCAGAACTGTAGCTTGCTGGTCAAAAAAAAATTTGGGATGGACAACCAAATAAGCTACATTGCCACTCATTGAAAAAAGTGTATATTTATTGCTCACAAATAAGTGCGCTGTTTCTCGATTTATTTTTCCATATATTTAAGCTGCCATCTTAAATTATTTCTAACAGTGTGTGCCTAGCATATTTTATTTACTGTTTCCACAGCTAAAATATTTGTACAAGTCATTCACAATGTGCACTAGACCAAATTGTCTTGCCACCTATCGCCGAAATATGGCTGAAATATCAGCGTTAAACAGTAATAATCAATCAATCTTGCCACCCAAAATGGCAGTATAAATAGGCAAAATTTTCGATGGTCTCAGTTTCAGGTCCAGTAGGTCTATTAACAACAGTTTTGGTGAATGTTTTGTGAATGTATTGCTACTCATATTACTCTATATTGCAAAACAAAATTTTTTTTTATATCAAACACCAGAGACGCAATATATTAAAGATTTAAATGGATAATGGTTTTCCTGAAATTCCCAAAAAGGTTGCTAATTTTCCCAAATTTTATGGCCCTGGCCCCAGCCCCAAAAAGTGGTTTGAGAGCCCGGAAGATAGGAAGATTTATTCTATCATGACTTTTATTTTAGATTAGAATTTTATTTCTTAGTTAAATAAATACATGCTACTTGCCACATACTACATTTACTGATTTTTTTGCAACTATCTTTAGAAAATTAATAAATAAGAAGTTTTTTTCCTAAAACCTGTACATTACATGAAGTAAAATGTATGTCTTACACAGTAAGACAGTACATGTTAAGTATCTGTCTGTTAATTAGCTTGATTAGTAGGTTAGTAACAGATTACTATCTAATCTTCACAGCTGGCTCTAATGACAGGTATCTGTTTGGTGATTGATAATTATACGATGAGATAACGTCTTATAATAGTAATGTAGAGGACTTTGTGTAGGATATGTACTTTTATCAAATATCTTTATAAAGGTGATTGTACCATAGGTGATCTAAAAGTGGGTACTTGTTAAAGATTCATGAGTATGTATAAACTATTGTCAAACATGAATGCACATGTCACTGAACACATTCATTTATATAATATACATCAGGATCGTATAAGTTACGTAATTGAAAATTACATGCCAAGTGTTTGCATACCCTGTGTACAAGGCTACATCTACATGTCATATTTGGGAGTTGGTATCTGTAGATCAATGACTTTTTTTAACAGTCATGATGATATTTAGCTTTCCCAGAGACAGATTTGATTTTTTTTTTTAATTTCAACTATAATGTTGCCATTGAAGAACAGTGTACCATACACGTACAAGTATGTTCATGAGGATGTAAATTTTCAACTGTAGTTGTCCACTCTGTGCACAGATTGAATATTTTTGCAATAGTATCATTTGATGATTGACACAACTCTTATTGGATTGTCTTCTTTTCTTGTGTTTGATAGAATCAGATTTTTTTGAATTTATTTGTAACAATTAATTAGTATGAATAAATGAAGATGTTTCTTTGCATTTCAATTGTTTCCAGAAATCATGCAAGTTGCACAGAAATGGAATAACATGCATTAGTATGTCATGTGAATTTGTATGTGCACTAATTAAGTCTTATAAATGTAATTTATTTGATATAAATGAACATGTAATGACATTTTAGTATCTTGATCATGACTGATATATATAAACAGCTTTATTACAAATTTACCTCACACATTAAGAATATGAGGAGAAAAATGGGTAGATAATTAACTCCACAAGTACTTTATCATGATTATGGCATATTCTAACATTTTTATACCTAAAAATATTCATTCATTTTGTAGAAAAAACCCTGATTCAACGAGACATCGCCATAGATGCCTTTCAGGGTATACACATACCATCCAACCGTGCGGACTATGACCTCACCAACCTTAAAAAGGAATTCCACATTTCTGATATTATGTATTTTGCAAAATGTGGAGTTGAGGTACTTTTGAAATTTTTTTTTAAAGTAAATGGAGAGTATTTTGTTATGTACGTACCTCTAAAAAAATAAATTCTGTGTTTGAATATGCTAGCAAAATAAATTTAATGGATTTTTGTTAATGTATACATGTAGTAGTAGCTCCTTGTGACTGCTCGGCAACAGTCATATTTAATAAAAACTTTGGAGAAACAAACATGATTTATAATATGAAATTATTATTATAGATTTAAATTTTCATGCTACCATGATAGCAGTTTACTTGATATGCACTTAGGTACTCAGAACAAGTTTATTCAGGACATTCTTCTCTTAAATATTCTAATTTTCATTCATGTTTTAGGCCATAATTGAGGATGATGTCACCAAGTGTTTCTCAGCTGAAGGTTAGTTATGTCCTTGACCCTTAAAATTAAGGGTCATGGAAAAAAATATTTGAACTTATTTTTTCTTCAGGAATTATGTACAAAATAATATATATATGGCATTTACTTTGTATAAGTTTTGCTTTAATTGAAACAGAAGTTTGATTGATAGAATAATTGCAAGTACGTGTACTAGCTGAAATGAATTTTTCTGAAAGGTCTGATTTCTATGGTCAGTTACTTCATTGCCATGTACAATGTATTAAATTGAATACTGTGATTAATTATAGAATTACGCACATGGAATTTTCTAACCAGAACTACGCATGGCCACCAGTTTATAAGGTAGGAAATAACATGATGATTGTATTTTTATTATTTTTCCATGTAATTTTAGTAAAAATGGAGTCTTGTACTATGTATACAGGGTTATTTTCGCCCAAATTTATTATCACTCTTCACACCTGCCCCATATTTAATATTCCTCAACAGGATTATGTTCAAAGAGACATAATAACTCTTGTCTTTTTTGGATGTGCCCCATTTTGAATTTGCCTGCTGAAGACAATGGTAAAAGGGGAAATAATGGGTGGGTGGATTTCCGTATACAGTTGAACTTTGGTATCTTGAACATGGATATTTCGAATACAGTGGATATGTCGAAGTGATTTTGAAGTCCAAAGCGCTTATTATACCCCATGCAACAAGTTGCAAGAGGTATAATGTTTTTGACCCCTCCGTCAGTCAGTCAGTCAGTGTGTCAGTCAGTCCTGTTTTTTTGTCAGTGCAACTTCTCATAAACCGCTGCACAGAATTTCATGAAACTTTGCAGATATTTAGCACACAATGTGTAGATATGCATATTACCAGGAATATCAGATTCCTTAATTTTTTTCTGGGAATTTTGGCACTTTTCAACTTAGATTTTTGGCCATATCATGAATATAGAGATGAACAGTTTGTCAGCGCAACTCCTCTTTAACCGCTGCACAGAATTCGGTCAAACTCTGCAGATATTTAGCACACAATGTGTAGATGTGCATATTACCAGCAAATTCCGATTCCTTTACTTTTCTGGGAATTTCGGCACTTTTCATTTTAGATTTTTGGCCATATCTTGAATATAGAGATAAACAGTTTGTCAGCGCAACTCCTCTTAAACTACTGTATAGAATTTGGTCAAACTTTGCAGATATTTAGTACACAGTGTGTAGATGTGTATATCAAAACAAATTTCGATTCCTTTATTTTTCTGGGAATTTCGGCAATTTTTAACTTAGATTTTTGGCCATATCTTGAAATATAGAGGTGAACAGTTTGTTAGTGCAACTCCTCTTAAACAGCTGCACAGAATTTGGTTAAACTCTATAGATATTTTAGTACACAGTGTGTAGATGTGCATGTTACCGGGAAATTCCGATTCCATTATTTTTCTGGGAATTTCGGCACTTTTCAACTTAGATTTTTGGCCATATCTTGAATATAGACATGAACAGTTTGTCAGTGCAACTCCTCTTAAACCGCTGCACAGAATTTGGTCAAACTTTGCAGATATTTAGTACAAAGTGTGTAGATGTGCATATTACCAGGAAATTCCAATTCCGTTATTTTTCTGAGAATTTCGGCACTTTTCAACTTAGATTTTTGGCCATATCTTGAATATAGAGATGAACAATTTGTTAGTGGAAATCCTCTTAAACCGCTGCACAGAATTTGGTTAAACTCTATAGATATTTTAGTACACAGTGTGTAGATTTGCATATTACCAGGAAATTCCGATTCCACTAATTTTGCCTATTATTGAAGAAACTTTCCAGCTAGGTAATAAGGAAATCCACTGGAATCAGCTTTTGTAATGAAATTTTATGTGAAATGTTTTATGACCTTAAAAGACCCCTATTGATTTTGAGATTAAAATATTAATGATTTAACACACACACAAAATCTTGGATGGTCCCCCCCTCCCCCCCCTCTCAAATTGGTGCTTTGCCTTAAATAATAATTTCATAAGTGCAGTATATAAACAAATCCATATGACTACATCATAATTTTGTTTCCATCAATTATTTTAAATATGTAAATTGTCATATGTGTTGGACTTACACTCATAAACAAATCGAAATCACTGAGGAATTTAAATAACAGTTTGTCAGCATAACTCCTGCATTGAATTTCCTGAAGCTTTGTAGGTATTTCAGACATAATGTATAGATTTGTATATTACCAAGAAATTTTGATTCCATTATTTATCTAGAAACTTCAGCCCAGTTAAATTTGTAACATACAAAGATTTGAATGTCCTTATATATGCAAGAAGTTTTGATGTGATGATTTTTTGCAAGTAATGCCCCTTTTTGAATTATACTGTGTATTTAAAATACACTTTCCATTCATTACGTGTTGCTGTCGAGTTTTTGGGGAGCATGGGGTATGTGAGCTTGCTCACTTTTTCTTTCATTTCTTAAATATTTTACCCTGGATATCTCGAATCCTCGGATATCTCGACTTATTTTTTTGGTCCTGTGAAGTTCGAGATAACAAGGTTTGACTGTATAAAGTAAAATATAGCATGTCAAGGATAGACAATAAATTTTAATTAAAGCCTAATAGTCTGCAGGGCTAGTGACTAAGAATTCCTACTAGCCCTGTTAATAAATTAGTTGTCTGGCAGCTGAAGACTGACTGAGTTGCAAAACATTGATGGATTCCAACCACATCCTGGGGAGGAGGGGGTGTATGGGGAAAATTTTACAAAATAATGATGATGCCAAATCCTGCATTCTGGCTGTATATTAGGGCATAAAAATGTCAATTTATGAATGGAATGCAATTACAAAGACATTTTTCAGTTGTCTACGTTAGTGCAATTCAGAAATTGCTATATATTTCTTTTAGTAATCTGTATTTGTTTTGTTTGTTTGTTGTTTAACGTCCCTCTCAAGAATTTTTCACTCGTATGGAGACGCCACCACTTGCCACTGGAGAGCTGCAAATTTTGTCCTATACTTGGCACTTACGGCCATTGAGCAGTGAGGGGTCTTTTTTGTGCCAGCGCCTACTGCGACACAGGACCTCGGTTTATACGGTCTCATCCAAAGGACCGTTCTCCACGTCCCACAGTGGGATTCGAACCCTCGACGTAAGGATCAACTCCTTACTTCGTGACTCTAGAGCAGACGCTCTAACTACTGCGCCATGCGGGCGACGACTTTAGTAATCTTTATATTTGAGAGTGTTTAGTACACACAGCTTGCCCCTATGTGTGTAGTTGCCCTGCTTGAATATTTCTTTAGTAGCCTATTCTCAATTTTCATTTGTCACAGGCTAGCAGGCTACTGTTAGTGTGGAACCCTGTTATGCATCTTAATCATGTTAATATGTTCAAACATGCTTCAAAGTTGACTGATACACTCTGTAACATTATACTGTATGTTATGCATGTACCAAGTACACTGTTAACAGCCTGAGGGTTAATGTTACAAGATTGATGGGGCAAAAGTATTATTAGTGTGATCGAAGATCTTAACTTGAACTTTTAATTTTAAATGGTTTCAGTTCTATGATATCCATGCAACGCTTTAATTAGTGTTAATTATATATTTAATTGATCATAAAGTGTTATTTCCTTGTCTTTTCAGTGTTCGTCTTACAGTTTTATGGTGTTTGGGATGTCTATTCAGATATCTGTTTTTACCATTTAGGTTAGTACATTGTGTATAAATGAACTCATAATTGTTATCCACCTAGATGAGGAACTAAAAAGTTATGTCTTTTGTCATTGATAAATATTTCATTTCTTTACTGGCACAATTGCACTATGTCTTAATGTTAAAGTTCTTTTAGAACTCTAAATCTGTTACTGATTTGAAAATTTTAAGTTATGTACTGTTGTTAATATGCCTCAATGTTTGTACAAATTTATGGTCAATTTTTTGAAATGTTTTCAGAAAATCATATCATATTTTTGATTTTATTTAAGGCTGATACTGTTATGCATTGGGCTTGGTTGGTTACTATTTTCTACAGCTGTTATAGGAGTATTGCCAGATATACCGTGAGTACAAGGCTATATTGCTAGAAAAATTAATAGTGATCTCTGCTATTTTGGGAAAAAAGTTTAAAATTAATGTAAACATTGGATAAATGGGTCTATTTATATAGAAAAATTAATAGTGATCTCTGCTATTTTGGGAAAAAAGTTTAAAATTAATGTAAACATTGGATAAATGGGTCTATTTATATCTGGTTGGACCAGCTGACATGAGACAGATATTGACATTGATTGTATATAGTCACTACTTAAAAATATATGGACCAGCTTTAGACAAAACAAGATAAGTCTGTAGCAGTATTTTCCTTAACTTTTAAAATGCTCCTTTAATTTTATTAGTATTCATTACAAATTACATACATGTGATAAGTCAAAGACCACAAAACTGTACAGGAGCCATAAAAAAACTGGAATTTGGGTGAAAAAACTGTACACTGCCTATCAAAAAATGGTACAAAAAATGGTATAAAATATCGCTTAAATTCTTCTGAAATTCCATCGTAATCATTGTAATAAACATCGTATATTTTATACCTACGAAGATCTGGGTCAGATTCACGTATATTGAGTCATGTATATCAGCTTTAGAAGTTGGCCTAATTTTTTTCAATCAAGTTACGTAAACGAAACATTAACAGTAATTAAGTACCCCTTAAAAAATAAAGCTACCTAAAGGATTTGATACGAATTTATAGCAAGATAATTATCCCAATTGGCAGTTCACACCTTTGCACGCGATGGTTTGTGTACACTAACACAATTAAGGTCAAGTGTCAACACAGGTGACGTTTTCCATTGTCTCGCGAGCGAGAATGAGAGGAAAATGGCGGCATTTAGCGAGAAATTCAAAATACTGTACAAATTTTCATATTCCTTGAATTTTGGTGTCCTGCCGGTACACGATGAATGGGCTCGGAAAACTGTACATTTTGCGTACAGCCGGTACATATCACATGTATGAAATTAAATCCCAGTGTATACAAGCAACTTCAACAAACCATTAGTCAACCAGTAAAAAATTAAGGTAATAGCCCAAGTGACCAGTGAAAATATAATTATTTCTAGCCCTGGACTTAAAATAGTTTTAATGTTTAATGTTTAGTTGGCCCCAAAAAATTCAATTTAGTAAAATACATGTACATGTACTTCTTGTAATGATCCAGTTGACCAGCAGAATTTTGAATTACTGAACAATCTGGCTACCTATAAGTTTTGCAAGCACTGTGAGTTTGCAATATGTATATGGGAATCTGATGTGAACTCTATCTTGCTCATGGTACATGATATTTAGTTTATTAAGAATGCTTCTGTAAAACTAGATTGTGTTTGTAAAAGCTCTGTACATTGTGAAATTTTATTTTTTAGTTTGAGGAGGCAGTTAAATAGATATGCTTCCTTGGTCTGTCACAGAATTCTCTGTAGAGCCTGTTCTGCTGTTGTGACCTACCATGGCAGGTAACAAAAACAAACTTTTTCATTGATTGGACAACCAACATACAGGATGGAACAAGATGATAAAAATATGCATTAATAGAAATTTTATCTCTTTTCAAAATTTTTATCATAGACTCTCAGAGTGTTGTCTGTTTGTCTTTCTGTTTGTTTTCAAATGATAACTTCTATAGATATTTGAATAAAATTTGGTATACAAGTAGACTATATGAAGATGCACAACTGGTTCTTTCTTTCTTTCTTTTTTAGGTCACCTGAGTCACTCAGGTGACCTATTGCTATCCGTTTTCGTCCATCGGTGTGTGTGTGCGTTAACATTTGAACATTTTTAGCTTCTTCTCTGAAACCGCTTAACCAATTTCAACCAAATTTGGCATATAGCATCTATGGGTTAAGGGGAACAAAAATTGTGAATTTCATTAGGGCTGTGTATTGAGCAAAATATTTCGATATGATACGATATGATATTTTATCAAGCGATATGCGATATATTGGATTCTTTCACAAGTCTATCAAAAAAGTCTTGTATATCATTTAATCCATAGATTTGATAAAAACTGGGTGTTTTATTACCAAATTGGAAATTCATGTTTCACTGTCTTTACAAAGTACACTTCAAATTCAAACTTTTAATGATTGTAAAACTAACATGTTTAAACATAGTTGTCTATGTATTTTGTAAAAGTTATTTAAAATGTGCTATCTCCTTAATGTTTATTTCATTTTTGATCATTTTTCATTCAAAACAGTTAAAAATAACCTTTGGTGACTGAAATTCCCAACTTTTTCACAGAATTATAAGAAAAACTGTCTGCCCGATACGTATTGAAAGTTAATTTTCGATACGATACATTCCTGAATATTCGATACGTATTGATTAATCGATATATTGACAC